AATTGATGTTTAGTCCTTTCTTCTCTCTTTCCTTTACTTGGCCTCTTCCTCTTGCTGACAACCATACATTCTGTCTTCTTACAATTGATATTTAGTCCTTTCTTCTTGATCTAAAACTCTCTTCCTGTCCTTCTAACCCCACACACGATAGTGTACTTACACCAAATCACAAAGAGAAATTTAATCTTAACACAGATAAAATCAAAACTTTGGGACTCCGAATGGAAGGAATCCTCCAAGAAAATAATATACAGTCTAATCAAATATTTAAAACCAACCAATCAAACATACCACCATGGATAATCAAAAATCCAAACATAATATTAAGTTTAAACAAATTATCAAAATCAAAAACACACCCCACAACATACATTGAAAAATTTTCAAAAATAAAAGAAATACGAAAGTATTTACACGGACGGCTCAAAAGACGAAGAGAAAACAGGCGGCGCAGCAATAACAAAAAAAAAAACAATTATCAAAAAACGCTTGCCAAATGAAGCATCAATTTTCAGTGCAGAAGCCTACGCAATAAAACTAGCACTAAATTTCATATCAAAAAACAAAGGAGAAAACTATTATTTTCTCAGATTCATTATCTGTAATAACATCCCTAAAAGGGAAAAGACTGGAAATCCATTAATACAAAGTCTTCTATATAAACTACATTCAATGGAAAAAGCAAAAATATCATCTTCTGCTGGATTCCTAGCCATGTTGGCATCCAAGGAGGAGATAAAGCGCATACTACTGCTAAATCATCTTTAAAAATGACAATTGATGAAAATCTTCAAATTCCATATACAGACTTAAAATCTAAAATAAATAAATACATAAGAAACAAATGGCAAAATTCATGGAAAAACCAAACCGGAAATAAACTTATTCAAATTAAACCTAAAATAGGAAAATGGGGAAATAATCTTGGAAATACTCGGAAAAAACAAGTCGTCATAACCAGAACACATATAGGACACACTATTTAACCCATTCTTATATATTAAAAAAGACAAATCCACAAAAATGTAGATGTGGAAGCCTAATCACAATAAAACATATTCTATTGGAATGCAAAATCATAACTAGAATAAGACAAAAATATCTCAATGGAAAAGATTTAAAAGAAATATTCAAAAATACAGACAGAAAAAATATACAGTTTTCTCAAGGAAATAAAGATCCTCAATAAAATATAACCCTTTCAAATAGTGTATATGTATGTGTATACGTGTTTATAAACATATATATGCATGTATGAATGTAAATATTAAAATACAGAATCAAAAACAGTCAAAAGAAAAAGCAATCCCAAAAAATACAGATTATGAAACCGAACCGCCTTTCAACTTTTTATACAAAATAACCATCTTAAATTCATAAATTAATAAGGCTTCGGCATAAATTGACCCAAATAGGAGTTGACATGCCGTTAAATCCAACATCCATCCATCCTTTCTTCTTGCTTCCATTTATTTGACCTCTTCCTCTTGTTGACAACCATACATTCTGTCTTCTTACAATTGATATTTAATCCTTTCTTCTCCCTTTCCTTTACTTGGCCTCTTCCTCTTGCTGACAACCATACATTCTGTCTTCTTACAATTGATGTTTAGTCCTTTCTTCTCGCTTTCCTTTACTTGGCCTCTTCCACTTGCTGACAACCATACATTCTGTCTTCTTACAATTGAGGTTTAGTCTTTTCTTCTCGCTTTCCTTTACTTGGCCTCTTCCTCTTGCTGACAACCATACATTCTGTCTTCTTACAATTGAGGTTTAGTCCTTTCTTCTCCCTTTCCTTTACTTGGCCTCTTCCTCTTGCTGACAACCATACATTCTGTCTTCTTACAATTGATATTTAGTCCTTTCTTCTCCCTTTCCTTTACTTGGCCTCTTCCTCTCACTGACAACCATACATTCTGTCTTCTTACAATTGATGTTTAGTCCTTTCTTCCCGCGTTCCTTTACTTGGCCTCTTCCTCTTGCTGACAACCATACATTCTGTCTTCTTACAATTGATGTTTAGTCCTTTATTCTCCCTTTCCTTCGCTACCTTCTTTAGGAGTTCTTGTAGTTTTTCTTCTATGTCTGCTATCTGTTATCCGTATAACTTATGCTGTTTAGATTCTAGCCATTAATGAAACTTTTTTTCTGACACTGTTTTAGATGTATGTGTAATATATACACGCAGACCTACGGGCAACCTATTCGCAACATAGTTGTTGATAATACAAATATAATAGCATCGTCTACATGTAACAAAAGCTAAACATAATGGAAGCCTTATTAATAAAAACAAAAAAACACTCAATAATATCAATTATGAATATGGACACTATATGTTGACTGCGCTTTGAAAAGAAAACATTCTATAACCCAAAATACATAAACACAACAATCCATTTACACTTAACAGTAAATATAATTCATTTTTGATAATGGCTAAAGGTATAGCCGAAAGCGCTAGGAGAAATAAGACATTTGGACAGTTTTTGTATAATTCATCTATGGAAAAGAAAAAAAATCATAAGATCATAGGAGAAATTATATAAAAACTAAAGGACTGTTTGCCTTAGTTAACGAAGCTTGCATGAAAGGATTGCTGCCTAAATACTTATATATATAATTAGTAAAGTTAATAAATCCGTTGGTATGTACTACAAGTGGATCCTTGTAATAAAATATTAGAACTGATCCACAAAAAGAGCTCATTGTATTTATTATAACAGCATCTCAAGAGTATTACACAACAAAATCCAAAATTACCAGATATGGGGGATAGATCTATTTCAACCGATAAAAACTTCATCAGTCTTATCTAACTCCGATGTATAGTCTACACTGACGATGATCGGTTGAAACAGATCTATCCCCTATATGAAGTAATTTCGGATTTTATGTAATACTAATATGTTATATATATAAACAGATATAGTGAGAACCCGCGTAAATAGCAAAAAATGGTGATCTTTTTTTTTCATCAAACTTAATAATTGCTTTATAAATGTATCCTTTTACATCCCTGGTAGCACACTGACAAATTGAATTTCAAAAACTGCAAAATAATTATCTGAATTGGGTCATTATTTTACCCCTTCATGTTCTCGGCTAACTTTGATTGAATAAATACAGACTACTTCTGTTATATCAGTAACTGCATTAATTTTTTTTTTTTTTTTTTTTTTTTTTTTTTTTAATGAAAATAAAGTAATTAAAGATAGACTCTGTTACATCTAAACATGATGCTATTTTTGCTTCATTTTAATTGGACGCTTTTTCTGATCGACCAACTGGGTGCTAGTGTGTGTGTGTATAAGTTGCAATCTTTAATACAGGTTTCGTGGAATAAGGCTGAAAAGGTATGTGTTTTAGTTTTATTGGGGTTTTTTTTCTTGTATGTGTAAAATTGTTCTTTTCTGAGCGCAATGGGTCTAAAAAAAATGCCTAAATTTTTTTTTTTTATCATTCCGAGTTCTTTCGTGTAAATTATTCGCCATTTACAAATTTTTTTTGTACGCCATTCATTAAAGTAGTGTAACAAAAATATTTGGACATGAGCAATAGTTTATCGGAAAGCGCTCGAAAAAAAAAACTTTGAAACTTTTTTTATCTTTTTTATTTTTTATGAAGTCCAGAAGATAAAACGCTTGTACACTAGTGCAGGTCAATTTTGGAATCGTGGTATTGCACTCAGTTTGAAAGTTAGGGTTTGACATGGTAAATAAGGAGACAAAATATGTTTTCTAAAACGTTACCGCTTTTTGAGGAAACGAGTTTAAAGATTAAGTTTAGGTTCGAAATCGTAGCGTTGGAATTTCATTCCGGTGATCAGTGAAAGCCTTATAGCACAGACTTAAAAAATTTATAATTTACTGAAGCTTCATAAATTGTATATGGACAAGATGCATGGCACAAGCACATTATTACTAAATTATTGTGCTACTAAATAAAACCATTATTGGCTTCAAATGAACAATTTATCTATACTATGAAGTAATGTTATACAGTGCAGTAGTTTTAGTCCCATTTTAAACAATGCAAATTAAAACAAGAGCTTTCTTTTCTTTTTCTGGACAAAGAGTGTGTAAAAACTGTCAAAATGTTTTATATTTCCGAGCGCTTTCGGCTATACTTTTTAGCCATTATCAAGGATGATTCGATTTTTCGGCTTAATTGAGTGTGTGCATTATGTCTTAGTGTGTAATAGGGATGTTTTATTTTCCGAATACGGTTAGCACATTGTGGCCTTGTTCATAGTTAATATTGTTAAGAGTTGGCTTTTTCTTTTTTATTATTATTAAAGCTTCCATTATTTTTAATCTCTTTTTACAGGTGGGTGCAGTTAATATATTTGTGTTTTCTACTAGTATGTTTCTAATGGAGTCTGGTAAGTTTGTTTTTTAAATGGGTTCTATTGAAGCTGTGATCAGATAGGTGTAACGTAAGATGTCTGGATAAGCATATAGTTAATTTTAGACATGATCCTTATTTTTTATTTTGCAAATATGGTTCCGAGGGCGGTATATTGGCGATGGATGCTTTCTTGTTTAAGATTTAAGTGTAATGATAACTAAAATAGTTGTGGAAGGAACGTTTTACAAAAACTTATATGCTTTTAGGAGATGATTTTTTTTTTTTTTTTTTTTTTTTTTTTTTTGGTTGGTTCTCTTGGTTGGTTGGTTCGTTATCAACTATTACGAATATTTTTTTTATTGATGTACCTCCTTCACAGCTCACTTCCGGCATCACCAGCGCAAGTGAGATACTATATTTCCTCTATTCCTCTATATGCAAGAATCTCTTTTATGGTAAGATTCTTTTAAGAGATGAGTAGTTAATAATTTGTTTCTTTCATAAATTGCAACTTTTTATGAGTTAAAAATAATTCTGCAATTTAAAAATTTCACTTTGTTCATATATCAGGAAATTCACATTGATCTAGCTACAAATTCGGTTTTTTTTTTTTTTTTTCCTTTTCCTGCTATTTTTTTTTTCCTTTTCAGGTTTGCAAGGATGGCTTATTTCGGTTCCAGAGTAAAAAAGCAAATTGAAAACGAGGACAATGAAGCCTGGAAAAAAGTAATGGAATTTTATCAAAAGGAATTTCTTTGCGACATTAAACTGACCGTTGGCCACGAGTCGAGGTCTGCCCATCGTATTGTGCTGTCCTCTCTATGTCCAAAAGGTCCGTGGTCAAAGCAAGGAGCAGCTACCGCTTCACACTCAGATAATGGACCTTTTCAACTCGACGTTAGCGATGTGTTCAAAACTCCGGAAACCTTTGCAAATGTTATCGATTTCATCTATTTGGGAACGATCAAACTGAAAACGGATACGGTTTTACAGATCTTGGAAGTGGCAATACAGCTTAATTTGATCGATCTGATCATTCACTGCAGCCAGTTCCTCTTGGAGCACATCCGCATCAATAATGTTCTCAGTTTATGGAATTTGGCTTATGAGATGGAGCTGCGTCAACTGGCTGAGGTTTGTCGAGTTCTTGCCCGAGAATTGTTCAGGGATGTCATTCTGGAGAGCAATGATATGAAAATGCTCTCCGCCAGTTTCATGGATATGCTAGTCGGCCAGAAATACGTGACTAACACAGTAACGTCAATAGAGATTGCTGGTTTTATTTTAAAGTGGTTGATCGAAGACCCCGAAGGAAGGCGGGAATCTGCCAGAGTATTAATTTCCAAAATCGGAATTTGTCGGACGGATTTGTATCAGATTGGCGATTCCGTTTGTCAAAATCATGAAATCAAATCTGAAACCTTGCAGGAGATGCTTCGTGACTGTTGTATTTCACGATCACGTGAAACTCTCTCCTCAGAAGCTCCGCTTGCAACTGCAGTACATTTGAACTCTGCTTTTGAAGAGCCTCTCTCTCTTGATCGAGAACCACTTCCACAGCCTCCCGCGAGGAGACTTCCCGACGGAGACGGCGGTTGGATGCTCATGGTCAGAGACGATAAATCGACGACAGTCTTTTGCCAAAAGTCGAAAACCTGGTTGGAATTTCCAAATATTACCTATCCGTACATAGTGGGACTGTCCGACAGGAAATATTTGGCTTGTACGAAGCAGCAGTTCGCTCGTTCTTTTGAGATAATGGACTTTACCCGCTTTCAGCAACCGCGAAGCATTGAAGAACGGCGTTTGATGGATGACGCTTTTCCGGAACCGGAATACATTTGGTATTTGTGCAACAAGAAAAAATGGTATCTTGCTTCTTTGATTAGTACTCCTGATAAATATAGTCTGGTTTTGCATGAATGGGACGATATGAACGGCGTTTTCGTCTTCCGACACAATTTCAAGACTTCTCTGTCAAATCAGTGGATTATCAAAGGCTTCACTTACTTTAACGATAATAATTGTAGCCTCATCTTGATTATATCCTCTCTAGCTAACGTGGATTACCAGAGTGCCAAGCCCTATGATATATTCTACTTGTTCCGAGTCAGCTGGAAAAGAGAGGCTTTTATCGAAGAAGTCATTAAAGACATGTTCTACTATCGCTGTTCGTCTATGACCAAAGAGGATTTCTTATATCTCAATGACTGTCTGTATTTATTCGATCAGGGTCTTGTTAAAAACTTGGTTTACGCAATCGAATATAACGTCCCAGTTACTATTCCCGCCATAGCTTTCGACCTAAGATCGGGGAATAACAGCACTTACAAATCCATCCAACTATCACAGCCTGGTCTTAATATCTTACCTCTGAAACGAAAATCACTCCAGCCTCAACAGGCCTCCATCTCACAACCTACACTATCATCGAACGCAACCACGTCTTCTTTGGCTTCGGATTACGCGAAAAACAGAGGTCTCTCTTCTGAGAACCAGTCTTGTGTGTCTGTTATCGGCGATAAGCTGTTTTTGGTCACCCATAGGGCCCCGGGAATTGTTCATGTTTTTAAAATAGATATCTTCCAAAACTCATGGGAATTGACACCACCATTGCCCCTAGCTGCTCTCACAGACATCAAGGTCAATTCTTTTTATAGTGACTGTTCGTTACATGACGGCTTTCCGATGGGTAGGAAACGGTTCGAATCGGAAGACTTCCCTATTTTCGAAAATTGGTGTCTGCAACAATGGCAAGGAATAGGGGAAGCAATTGCAAACGACAGCAATCGTCCAATATTGTCTAATTGAACTCTCGGAATATGGATTTCATCGCTTTTAAATGGTTTCTTTATTCATTTCGTTATTTTTCAATAGTTATCTGTGGGTACTTTAATGGATTAAATTTTATATTTTAATTGCTTGACTCGCTGTATTTTAGTAAACGAGCTGCTATGTTTCTTAGCAAATTATCGCTGTATAAAAATCTATAGCAAATCATTTCTCTTATTGAGGTTTTGTTGAATAAATTTTAAAGGATTTCTCAGTCTCCACTTAATTTTCTTTTCTCTCGGAATCAAATCATCTATGTGTTTATTTCTATTCGTACTTTGCTCTTAAATAAAATGAGGGGTATATGTTCCAAGTTTTAAATTTGGCAAAAAGAAGTATTTTATAGGTATATCTTTTCTTTTTTTTTTTTTTTTTTTTTTTTTTTTCCAACATTTCAGGTCATTTAATCCAATAAAATAATTCCTTTTTAACATTTTTATTTTCATATATCATAACTTCTTGCATAATCCATTGCATGCAAATACGACTTATCTCGTCCTTCCAGCCATATTATGTTGAAATACCGCTTCCCGTACGATAATCGAAATTACAATCTCCGGTAGTGAATGTTTTGGGATAGAATTATCTTCTGAGATGTCGCGGATTTATATAGAAGTTGCAGGCTGATTTTTTTTTTTTTCTTTTTTTTTTTTTTTTTTAAGTATATCTTTAAGTGCATCTTGTATGTCGATACTATTAATATAAAGATGTCACGCCGATGAAATATGTCGCTAGCTACTCCAGATCAAAAATAATTCCTTTCTAATTCTCTTCTCAGCGTGTTTCGACGTGATATAGCCGTAAGCCATATCACGTCGAACCACGGTTTCTCATACGATCACCAAAGTTAAGCAATGTCGATCCTGGTTAGTACCTAGATGAGTGACTGTAAGCTGGAATGTTCGGGTGGTGTAATGGATAATGGCTTGGAATTTTTAGTCGAAGTATCGAGTTCCAATTCCAGTTGGGTTCGTTATATTCACTTACGCGCAAATACCCTTGAATCCACCTGTTCACCCCCAGCTATGAAAATTCTCTTACAATCTAAAAGAAAATAACTTTTCTGGCTTTAAATAGCCTTCAAAGGGATGATAAACCGTAGAAAATGAATCAACCAACCGAGATGAACAGTTGTTTACAGGATTTAAAAAATTAAATGTAATGTCCTGATTTAAATACTCTTTATTAATAAAAAAAAATTTAAATCGTTCCCGCTTTGGCTATAAATACCATTTTATTTTTTTTTAAGTTAATATGGAGTATTTAATCCTGTACATGAGTAAAGATCGTGCTAAAAATTTGTGATACTCTCCGAGGTGGGGGTAGGGGAAAATGTCTCTATTGTTCTTGTTAATTTCTGTTTGAAAAAAAATGTAATTTATTTCTGCCCAGAAGAAAAGAAAATCTAACATACCTTCTTTTATGTGTCGACTCCCCACCACCTTTAGGATATAGGAAATCATGGTACTCTACATATTCTTATCGTTCGTATCTCTGAGAAATGTTTGCCCTGCTGGTGCATGTTCTACCATACTTTTACGCAGTCCCGTTAGACTTGTTACTTGCTTCTTTCCTCTGTCCCTTTTGTCTTCACTAAGTCCTGTAAGCGTTAAATACTCCAAACCTTCTTCTCTCATTGTGTTCAAGAAAATTTAAATGTCCTTCTGATTTGACCCCCCGCCCAACCAAATTCTTCTGTTCATGATCTTTTCACTTTTCAGCGTCCTTTTTTCTTTTCTTTTCTTTCTTTTTTTTTTTTTTTTTTTAGGACTACATTTCCGTTGCTTCAAATCTCTTCAGCATCTGTGAAGAAATTGTTCAGTAGTCCCTATAACCGTATTTTTCGGCTTACAAGATGCTGCGGTCTGGAAGACGCACCCTGATATTGGAAAGAAATTTCTAAGAAAAAAAAAATCATTCTCATACAACACATTCACCATACGTCCCTCACATACTGACGCCACGTTTTGTTTACATTAATCACTCGTCCGATTTTGTTTGCAGGGCAATGGCATACTAGTCAAGAGTAGAAAGGCTCCCGCCGTTGCTAGTAAGCAGAGCATGTTTAAGCTTATGGCTCGGCTCCGGGAAGGTTTATACTCTTGGAAATACTTGTAACAGCTAAGTACTGAGGTTACATCATATAAAAGGCTGAATTAGGTAGGTAGCTAACATTATAGTGTAATGACTCAACATACATACTATCAATCGAGTCATTTAGATGACCGTTCAAGTGGGCGTTGTCTTGGAAGACGCGCGTATTTTACAGTGTAATTTTTAGGGAAAATGTGCGTTTTTAAGCCGGAAAGTACGATATATACGTAGCCTTTCAGCACTTTTTTTGTTTGTGTTCTTGTTGTGTTTTCTTTGTGTGCGCGCGCGTGCGTTTTTCTATTGATGTTTTCATGTTATTTTCTAATTCTTGGAAAACCTCTTTCGCTGTTTCAATGCTTCTTCGGATTTCTGTGCTACATTTTTTTTCATAAACCGTAGGAAATCCCCCCCCCCATTATCTTTCAGTCTTGGTAGTTTTTTCTCATTTCTGCTCAATAAATGACTTTGATGCCTTAACAATCACTTTGTAAACTGAAACCGTAGATTTTTTTTTTTTTTTAATCCTCAATTTAATGTTATCATTGATAGAACGATAACTAGAAATCATTTTAGGATACAGTATATGTCTGCAGTCCGGCCTTAAGTAGAAGAAAGGTCTTATGTGCCGTGTCCCTTCAGGACGTAGGCGATCATGGCTCTCCACTTCCTGCTATCCCTTGTTCTCAATAAGTTTTGTCTTTTTACTATTTCTCCCAGACCCTGTTCTGTCATCCGCTTGCTTAAGCCAGCCAAGTATGCCACGCGTTGCTTTTTCTGGTCCCTCTTTTCCCCTCTATTCGCCCTATGAGTATCAAAATTTCTAATCCTTCCTTTCTCATTACGTGTCCCAGACATTTCAGTTGCTTCTTCCTGATGTTAAGTATGAGTTTCCTCTCCAAAACCCCATCATTACTCGCAGTCTAAATGTTTCACTGATATTCATCAATGAGATCAGTCGTATGCTATCCACTCGCCTTTATGTGCATCTTTTTTGTGTGCTGCATTATTATTGGCTGATTTCTCTCTCTCTCTCTCTCTCTCTCGGGAGTTATTCCCTGAATGACTCTATATCACGAATTACTCGTTTTCTCTGTGTCGTTTTCAAAGTCAGTCACAGATTGTGAAGTTGTGTAAGTTATTTTTCTCTTAAACTCATATTGTAGGCTTTTTCAGCTTGTGTATCCCCACAAGTTGCCAAGTTCTGTGTGTCAAGGTATTCAGCTCTAAACTGCCAGCCAAGACTAAAGAGCTTTTATCTGCATATTAGTTGAAGACTTTTGTCTGTAGATTAACACAATCCTCAACAGTTACATCTCCCCACCCCACTATCACACTCAAAGCTTGTGCATGGTCAACCCATGATAGTGATATTCAAGCACTTCCCAATGGTACCATATGTTGTGATCATCCCTGCCCCCAGGAGACAACATAATCAAGAATTACCCTTCTATCACAGAACTCATAAACAGAACATTAGCACACTATTTGGACATACATAGCCAAGATAAAAGTGGATTGCAACTGTATATTTGAATTATTAATGCCAAACTATCTGATGTTCCATTTCACACCCACCACGACTTTTTTTTCTAGTAATAAATGCTTAGTAAATATTTATTATTTACACTATTGTCCCCATCTTTATTGCTATTATTACAACATTTTGGTTGTTACACCCTCTGACCTTCCTCAGGTGTATATTGATATGGGTAATCCACAGTAAGACTAATGGCTCAAAGCACCAAATCATGAATTTGCTGACATCATGGTCGGGAGTTCAATCCCTGAGTTGGGCAGTGGAAATGGGCAGGCAATAACTGAGCTGTATTAAAAATAAAAACTAGACCAGCGTTTCCTATCCTTTTTTCAAGCAACAGCACATGTAAATGAAAATATCACAGAACGCTTAACAAAATTTTTATAGGGTATACATTTTAAATGTTACGAAATAAAACCATAGATTTAAAAATAATTACACACACAAATATGAACTTTATTTCAATGTTTCTATTCAATTATTATTGTGTTTTTTTTTGTTTTTTTTTGCTATATTGTGTAGCAGGATGGTGGTTGATAATCCTAGACCCAGTCAGTGGAATGAGAAGTTTTCACCTGTAGATTAAATAAAGGGTTCAGTTCAGAATTCCTTGTAAGTTACCTAAATCCATATACTACTATGGAAGGCACAACAGCCAAAATGTTGTGATAACAATAAAAGATGCTTGCAATAGTGTAAATGATAACTCTTGTGCCAGAAATTCAGAAAAAATTAGTAAATATTTGTTGAACACTTTCAAAACTTACTTCTTTAGTTGTCATGTCTTCCATGAGAAGTGCAAAAATAATCTCTTATATTAGAGGAATATGACCATTCCCCCACCCCCCAAATAGAAAAAAAAAAACAAGAGAACTGAAATTCATGACAGCTTTATTAAAATCTTTTTACAATTATTACATTTTTCCTATTTTTTTTTTTTTTTTTTTTTTAAACAATTGTACATTACAAGAGTTTACAGACTTCTGAGATTCCTTAACATCTCTTTTTTAGAGAAAAACTTTCAGAAAATATAGACATGGTTATTTTCAACAACTTAGGATGTGAACACTTAAACAAATTCACACAAATCTAACCAGGAAATAGCACCATTATTTTTTTATTTATTTATTTTTTATTTTTTTTAGTACTAAATATAAATTTTATTAAAAATGTACACAATTACATCTGCATACTATAACCTGGATGAGATCAAAATAAATTTAGTCCTAAGTATCTCTTAACCCCTTACCTTACCAATTACTTTTGGAAAAAAAAGTTTCATTTTCAATATAGTAACTATAAAACTGAGGTACCTTGAAATACCCAAATGGTGGCAACACCTCTATCAGACATATGAGATGACAATTGGACTCATTTCAAGCTCAAAAGGGCATAAAAAGAATCAGGATTGTTTTATAAACCTGTCCATAGCTGGTTTTTGAACATTGTTTTGGGCATGATTATTTGTCCGTGTCTGAAAAAAAATACATTTGGTAAAAACGTATGCTATATGTCTATGCCAGGTCAGGGGTTAAGATGCCAATTTAGAAACTAAATATAAAGACATCTAGTTATAATCTCTCTACATACCACAAGCACCTGCTGTAGTATGTACGCTACCTGGTGAACAGCTGTGAAACTAAAGAATACCAAGAGGTAAATTTTTTTTTTTTGTGTTCTACATATTGAATGTAGATATTTACTTGACCTCCTACTGAGTCAGGTTGTGACACAAGGTTAGTTTTTAACGTGGGGACCCAAGTGTTTTCACTTGGGCTGCTGGTATTAGCTTGTCCAAACTGGTCAGAGCCAGTCTAAGCTAGTCGTAGCTGTGATACTACCAGCACTGGGACGGATCCCTACACCAGCTAAGTATCCAAATGTGTACACCCCTCCAAGGAGGAATTTACACATTCTTTTACATATTGAATGTATGCTTGTACATGGTATGAAAAGAAAGAAAAAAAACTGTCACAAAATAAGTTGTTAAAAATCATTCGGCATATAGTTTAAAATAAAATCTTTAAACACTACTACACTTCAATGGAAACCAAATCAATCATAAAATAAGTTGTAGCTCCTCAATGCTTAATGACTGTAGAATTCTACAATAATTCTACAATGTATCTTTATGCCTAATCAAACAGAATGTGGCACAATGCTTAGTTTAAAATGGAAGCGCTACATGTACATGAGACCAGAAATAAAAAATAATCCTGTCTCTTTGGAAATTCCCATTTTTTTGGGTGACGTGTTAGGTATTAACCCTAGAACCCTTTTGAGGCAGAGGTATTGCTTGAGATTCTTATATTCAAAACCAATAGAATTTTCAGTGGAGATAATAATAATAAAACACACACATAACTCTCCTTAAATCTGAACAAGCAGTTACAATTGTTCTTTAATGTCAAATTAAAAAGAATGTTTCTTCAAAGAGAATCAACCTTTGCTCTCAGATTCCTTTTTCTTTTACACTTTTTGCTCATTAAATATGGAGAAAGGTCTTCATAATGTTTGAAAATTTTTCTAGTGTTTTATATTGATAAAAGAAATGACAAGAGGAAAATCTTTTGCCAGCACATTTCGTTTCTTGAAGATTTTTATCAAAAACAAACAGAAATCTGAGAAAAAGTAATGTTCTAAGGTTAAATTAAAAAATATTAAAAATCTCTTAATGTTAGTGTCATCTATAATTTCCTTTCTCTAAGTGATATAAATTTTACCTGGTTGCTAAACAAAAGTGAATTAATGTTATTTTTATTTAACTTTTAGCACTCTATAAGTAACTATTTTCACCAAACAAAATTTGAATTTCATGGTTGTGTAGTCATATCCTTCTATGACAACACCTAAAACAATCTCAACTGAAATTGAGAGCCAGGCTACTGCAATTTAAAACATACAGAACACAATATTTTGAGGAGAATTCCATGTACAGTAAAAGAAATAATATTTATAAATGATGCAGAGTGCTATATGTTAAGCAATAAATTAACTATTCTACTTAAAAAAAAAAAAAAATATTCTGGTCAGACATAAATATGTTGACTTGAGAAAGGAGCATTTCTTTTTTTAAAAAGGAGATATTTGTGAAAAAATCCAGGGTGTTTTTCTTTTGTGTTTCAGCTTTTTTCTAATAATGCACATATGATTTTTCATATTTACTTTTTGCACATGTACCTGTGTGTGTGTATATATATATATATATATATATATATATATATATTTTGATGCATGTTTCATTAAATAGACAAAACTTGTCTATATTATTTAAGTTCCTTTCATATTGTCTGATAAGCTTAATAACATTATCATTAAAGGACGAAAGGAAATCACTATATTGATACATGTTTAAATCCAATTTAAGCTTTCGGCTTACATAAGCCATTATCAAAGATGACAATTAATTTTCAATATAGCAACCAATACACAGAACAATAATGACAGTCACTGCTTTGAAATTTTTCACACAACAAAAACAGACTAACTAGTGTATACGAGATACAGAAGCGAAACTCGTGTCGCAACTTGTGACGTCACACATGAACACGTGAGAGTGAATTCAAGAAGCATTAAGTATAGGAAGCCGTTGGTATAAACCAATGGCTTCTGTAATCAGTTATAGGCATTTAAGAATGTTTGTGGAGATTTCGTAGTTTATTTTATTCAGGTTAAGTTTCAACTGTTTTATGTATATAGATTCAAGGATTTTCCGGAATTGTGTACGCAGCCAGGCATGTTATTTAATGAAACGTGCATCAATAAAAACTGCTATATATATATATATATATATATATATATATATATATATATGTGTGTGTGTGTGCATTCTATACCATTTAATGTATATATTTAGCACTATATATAAGTTATGTTAATCTATGACTGATGCAACCCTAACAATAGATGGAACAGTGTTACAATGCTTGAAGTAGACATACACTCAATTTATTTTTGCTTTCAGTGAACATGACAGGAAAAGAAAAAAAAAAAGCACTTCTGCATAATAGGTGTGGAGGGAATCCTTGAACACAACTCTCTACTCATTCCATTTGAACTTCAACATATAATTGGCTGCCTTTATATCAATGTTTGTTTATTTTTTATGGTATAATACGTTTTCAAATTAAATGTCTTAAACCCAAGATGGGTTCAGATTAACAACATTTTAATTTATATTTTACTATATTTTAGTCTTCAGATTAAGGTGAAATCTTTCCAGCCTACCATCAAATATTTTATGGTGACTAATTGTCATTCTGGTCATCAGTGTCAATTGTGATATTTTCTTAGCCAAAAATATTGGTACTGACCTTTTGCCAGGTTCACTGGTATTGTAAATCTTCTTCCTGTTGATGGATTTGATTGATTTTTTAGAGACCATTACGAAATTACTCCATGTCGTTTGGAGTCATTAAACAATGAAAACTTTCAGTTCCTGTTCACTGATAATTAGAATATGATAGAGAATTTTTTATATATTATAACAATGTTAGAATTGTTTTCACTTTGTCATTCATCTGCCTATGTAATACGTCTTTTTTACTTCTAAAAAGACTTCATCAAACATTACTTTAATCCAATGATGTCCTTTTAGTGCATGAAAAGTGTAACATGAAAGTTTTTTGCCACTTTTGTCATTCAGTTACCTATCACTGATAATTATAAATACATATACACCTTGAGTAAAAAGGTTCTTAGGATGTTCTTTTAAATGCAAAATTGCTATAATAAACAGTGTTATGGCATGTGCATTTGAGGTCGTAAATTCCCTGTGATATTGATTCTTGTTCAAGCCAGCTAAAAATTATTTTGCTTACTTATGTAAGCTAAGATTAGAAATCCTTAACTACTGTCTAGAATAGCTTGAGTTATCTATTTCCACATAATCAGTCTGTTTTGATTTATTCAAAAAAAGTCTCTCATATTGTAATTATGGACATGACATTTAAGCCAAGTATCCTCTGGCCATCTTCAAGGAATGTTAATATGAGCCATTTCCTTATAAGGAAACCTTCAGCATTCATTGACTGAGCAGGCAATTTTGCACTCAGTTGGAATTTATAAAAATTTCTCTTAAAACAATTTTTCAGGAAAACAGGTTTTTCAAGACCAGTAGATGTTATCACAATTATTCTCATTCTGTTAGACTATGTTAAATACTATTCATGCACTTTCACCTGCTACAACACCCATGAGCCACTCAAAGTAGAGGTTTATTGAATGTCGTTGTTCTAATGGTATAAAAGGAAGTAATAAGTGTATGTTATGAAGAGGATGAATAACAGCTGAGCTTAGATGTGAAAAGGTTAAGATCATAGTTCAGGGGAACATCCTCTCTGGAACCTGCTACTCAAAGTAGCAGTTCTTGAGATATGACATTTTTTTTTTTATGTTTATACATTCTTTTTATAGATACAAATATTTAAGTAAATGCTCTGTTTATAATATTTTCATAGAAAATATGCATCCTCCAACAGGAATCGAACCTGTATCCTATATGGAACCATCATATAGCCTGACATGCCTTAACCGATTGGGCCAGAGAGGAGTGTTCAGTTAGCAAGGTCGATTTGACTGTTTTTAAACAATTCTTCATGATTTTCTCTCATTCATTCATATCTACTCAATGTGTATCCAAATGTAAACAAATGATGTCATACATTGCTAACTGAATGCTCCTCTGTGGCCCAATTGGTTAAGGCATGTTGGGCTATATGACGGTTCCGTATAGGATACAGGTTTGATTCCTGTCAGAGAACGCATATTTTCTAAAAAAATTTCTTGGACATTCAGGCCGGTAAATGTTGTTAATACTGTTTATTATAAATGGAGCATTTACTTAAATATTTGTATCTATAAAAAGAACGTATAAACATAAAAAAAAAATGTCTTAAATAATTGTCAGAACTTTGTCCATTTCATTGTGTGTGTGTATATATATATATATATATATATATATATATATATATATATATATATATATATAAAACCTCTCTCAATGAGGATGATTCAACCCTGTGACATGGCAGGTCCTAAATGTAAAGGTTGGAACTGAGGAATGTAGTTAGTCTGAATTTTCTTTTAAGCATTTCAGACCCAAGCAAGGTAATAATGCTACTAAGACACTCAAGTGTTACTGAGAGTTAAGGAGAAACCTTTAGGGAGAAGAAAAGTCACTAAAAGAACAGGTATCAAAAAAGACAAGTGATTGAAGATTTATTTAAAGGGAAAGACAGGGAAAACAATACACTGGAAGAGAGTTCCGGAAAACAATACACTGGAAGAGAGTTCCACAAGCAAGAAGAAAAACTATTAGAATAGAACTTATGACTACATTTAGTCATTTTAACAGTAAAACAAATAGACTGAGTTGTCAATCTAGTAGTACACTTAACTTCATGCAGTCAAGATGTCAAAGAGTCAAGCTCATTAGAACTGTCACCATGAAAAGTGGGAAGCCACATCATGGCAGTGAGAAAGTGACTGAAGTTGAGATGTCAGGTCGGATTACAAATCTTGAGATATATAGCACCAGACCAGATATGCCAACAATATTCATTGTACAGACAAATTGTGCAAGATGGAATCTGTTGAGAGAAAAAAATTCTCTAGCACAACACAGTGCACAAACCTTTTGGGGGGTGGGGGGCATGAAATTAGTGAATCACTAGCAACAGGTGAGATACAACCACATTTTTCTTCTGTTCTTACCCAATTTCTCATCTAACTCTGCTCAAAATTATATTTATTAACTAAGCTTATCATTAAGATTCTTAAGTGACTCATTCTGATTGTCCAATTAAATCTGTATTCAATTCGCACCTGATTTTTCTGACAGCACTATAGATGGATCTATTGACATCTTCTAGTATTTCATCACTGTTATATTTTTCATTAATTATTTTGCTAAGTATAGCATCTATATTATATATATTATTGATCTTACCTTAGATTTTAAAGCACAAAATACATAATATTATAGCTTTACCTCCTTTTCATTGTAATATCTTTTCTTTTTCTATTCTGATCATTCCTTTTTAGACTTCATACATCCTGTCAAAAAAAAAAAAAAAAAAAAAACGCATTTTCTACCACGTTAGCAGACATCTTGTTAAACAATACATCTTTTGCTAGCCAGCATTTATTTCTAATGTTTTTTTTCTTAATATCCTATATAACCTGCTATTCTTTGGCATTATCAGCTGTCTTTTTCATTAGCTCGAATTTCATCTGTCATCCATTTCTTTTTTTTCTCTTTCTTTCTCTGAGATGACTGCTTATGCTGTTATCACTACTGATTTTCTTAAGATGTTCCATGTTGAGTTACTGACTACTTCTAAAGGCATTTATATTTGCTCATAACTCCTTCAGAATAAGTTGGTTTTCAAATTGAGTCATTCTGGAGGCTGTTGTATTGTAGTTGAGGTGTTACAATTTAATACTTAGTTTGAATTTGGCCAAGTTAACCATGGGTTTAGTTTGTAATATGGGGAAACATTTTTATTTTTCATACAGACTAGGATTTTGCTGCCTTTTCAAAAACTGTTTTTTAGACTTCAAATTAATATTAACTGATTGTCTAAGAAAGGAAAAAAAAATCTGTTCCTTTTTTTTAAAAAACAGGACAATTCTACTTTTCTTAGCCATTTTCATTTAAATTCTTCTTTTATCATTAATCAGCATGTCTCTGTTTAGCTTTTGGGTTGCGATAGTCAAACAGGCTTGTTGCTTTCACATCACCAACATAATAAAGCGCTTCGGTTAAAAGTTTTGCAACCTGGAAAAGAAAAAATACTTTGTTAAAAGCAAAGCTGATTCTCTTAGCAGCCAAAAGGTCATACAAACTATTGATAATGTTACTATAAAAGGACAACAAAAATAGAAGAAATAGCAATAAACAGATCCGAAATAAACTATAATGGTAAGACTAAATTTCTCATAGATGGACAAATACTTGTTTCCTTATGAGGAAACTTTAATGTCTGTTCTCATCTTTAATGCTAATATTAGCCATTTTCATACGTGGAAACATTCATTGATTCAACAGCTACTTCAGTTATGCTTTTCTCTACACCATGGCTATTGCTGTGATCAAAGTGTAGTATTTGTCGACATCTCTAATTGTAATATTAGTCATTTCTTTATAAGAAAACAGTTGGCATTCCTTGACTGAACAGCCAATGCTATTAGTGCTTTTCTTCCCTCCCTAATCATCAAGCTGAGATTAAAGTCTTTTCCTAATCTCTAATAGTAATACTAGCAGTTTCAAAATGTGGAAACATTCTGCATCCATTGACTAAACAACCACTGTTACTTTAGTTACATTTTTCTTCACTACCTGATTCTCAAGTTTTTTTTTTTTTTTTTTTTTTAAGCATTATGCCCCGAGCAAGGCGTGAAGCCACTAGTATGCAAGGGGTTGCAGAAGATTTGGAGCAAGAGCAGATAGGAGTGATAGAAGAAAGGATGAGGAGAGGGATGGTGGGTAGATCAAGGTAACTGGAGGTGTCGATTGACATTACATTTGAATAGTTGGAGATTATAGCTCTCAGGGAAACAGTAATTGGGAAGGGTGTTCCACAGGCGAGAGGTGCGAGGTATGAAGCTACTGGAGTAGAAGAGACGGCTACATTTAAAAGTTTCTACCGTGTAAGGATGGGAGCAGGATGACAGCCTCATAGGGCACTTGAATTCATGGAGTCTGGGAACCAGTGAAAGCAGCTCATCGGAGCAATTACCATGAAAGTATTTGTAGAAAAGACAGAGAGGCGACGCCACATCTGTGAGATAGTGACTGTAGATGAGACGCCAGATCAGGGCCAATTATATTACATATCCGTCTCTGGATCTTGTCAAGAACTCCGAGGCATGCAAGGGCGAATGGTTGATTTGTATATTTGAAGTATCGATTCTGGGGAGAAAAATTTCCTGACGTGGCACAGAGCCAAGGACGAAGCAATTGACTCGATGTATTTGTTCCATCTCCGGTCAGCAGTCCACGTTAGTATCTGTTCTCATCTCTGAAGGTAATGTTAACAGTTTCCTTATAAGAAAGCATTCTTTGACCAAGCAGCCAATGCTACTACAATTGAAATTTTAAAATTTATAAAATCTTATTCTTAAAACTTTTTTTTTTTTTGTTTTTTTTTTTTATTATAGGAAAATAACTTCTTGAGACCAGTAGCTGTTATTGCTCTTTCCAGTATTAATTGTTGGTGGGGCGTTCATTAACCTTTTTATTTGAAGTAATGTGGAAGATCAATGGTTGTAGGAAAATCAAATTTTCTAATTGTAACTACTCAGATGATCAATCAACAATGAGAATCAACTAAAATTAGGATACAGGAAATATTAATTTTAAAAAAATGTATTAATAATATGTCATATTATAGGCAAACCTGTTGCAGAAGATTTCATCTGTTATTTTTCTCTCATACTAAATAAATTTACATTTATATATTTGATTATTTATTTAGATAGATAGAAGATAAACAGCAAATTCTGTCTTGTCCATCCATGTGCCTGAAAAACTTAACTCATGCCAAACTTGCTCTACATAGACATAACTTTTTGGAATCAGGATGATCCCAAGATCTACCTTTTATCTGTTATGTTGAACATCCAGCATTGGGATTTGTGTCTAGATGAGAGAAGAGTTAAAATCTTAACTTTTTAATTTATATTGAGTTTTAAAAGAATTTTTGTTTTTAATTCACTTTAAAATATCTCCCAAACTTTGAATTGAGGAAATCAATTTTATTTCTTCAAAAAATCAGTTTAAGTGAGGTTTTGAAATTCCACAGAGTTTGATTTGAAGAACTCATTTTCTGGCCTGAATTGGAACTTTGTACAGAATTGGACTTATAGCCTGAATCAGAGTTAAAGTGGGGTTTTTGAAGTTTCCATAAAGTGAATTGAGGAATTCAGCTATTTCTTCAAAATTACCATTGCTGTTTTCTAAGTTGAACAAGAGATCCCTTTAGTTTTGGGTCAGAGGCCCAATTAGCCCTATGTGGGAGCTAGCTTATAAGTCTACAGAGAATGCAGCTTCTAAGCTAGCTGTGAATAAGAGAAGGAAAAAGAAAGAGAACTTACCTCAAAATTGGTGATAAGTGGAACGGCATTGTCGATAGAAGCTCGGCGAATCAGGTAATTGTCTTTGATATACTTTGTTTGGTGATTGGGCAAGTTTATGACTAGATCAATTTCTCCATCTTGAATCAATCTAGATTGAAAGTAAATGGTAAAAAAAATCTTTTACCTATATTGTTATTTACCTGAACTGCAAGTCAATAATGTTTGAATAAATACATGTATACATTACATTCTTCCTTGACCATTACAATCAGATTGTCAAGGAACCATGCCTTCCCTCAAAGCTTTCTATACTGGTTTGGTTAGTTTAAACATCAGACAGTATTGCAAGAATGTGTTGAAAAGTTATGACCCAAATTAAGAAACATTTTTTTTTCTTCTTCAGCTGAACCAAGAACTTTTCAGCAGATTAGTCAACCAATAGTAAAGCCAGGTTGCCTGTTCAACCATGACTAAATTCTAAATTTTGAATTAACTTTCTTTTATCCCGTTAAACATATTTAATGGGTACCCACATATTTGAGTTGATGCCTTATTAAACTGTATATTTATTTATTTTTATCTACCAACCTGAATATTTGAGAAATCTTTAAAAAAAAAAAAAAAAAAAGCAACCAGCAAGGCTGAATAGTGCTTTAAGTGTAACACTTGTTGTCATAGATTATCAATTTCTTATCTGATTTTTTTAGTTATTAATTCAACAAATTTTTATCACTTCAAATGTTATTTATAGTGGATACCTACATTTGAGTAGACATTCTATTTATTTATTAAACAGTATATTTATTTTATCTATCAGCCTGAATATTCAAGTAATCTTATCAGAAATTCAAACCTTCATCCCCACTTTGCAGAAGAAACCTGCAAAGCAGCAGGATTTGTGCTTATAAGGCACTATTCAGCCGTGATTGATCAATGACACATACTGTTGATGAGTCGGTCTAAATCATATCAGAACTAATGACAACTTCTCTGGCAAATGGGTATGCAGGTTCAAATCCTGCTGGAGTGCGCGTATTTTCCTTTGGTAAGTTTTCTTGAATATCCAGACCAATAAACAAAAATATACTATTTATTTATTAAACAGACATTTACTTAAATAGAGGTATCCACTAAAAATAATATTTAGAATGATAAAAATTGTTTTTATAATAAATAAAAAAAACAAAATCACTTCTTCAGAAACTAAATTTAGTAGCACTGTGTTGTCAGTTGCTAAATCCAGTAACACTTTAGATACTCAATAGTCTTTTTTCCTTTTTTTTTTTTTTTTTTTTTTGCTTGCTTGTTTTTATCATTCATAAATAACTACCCTTGACTTGGCTATAATTTATGCACATGTCAAAGTGTGAGAAATTCATTTCTGGTGAGAGGCATGAAATAAGTGACCCCCTGGCCAGTTGGAGCCATTCTGAAATGACTACACATCCATACCATCCTACCATATTTTATCACTTGCCCATTCCAAGAGTACCAAAGGAAATCCTAAAACTTTGGTTCTGCTAATATCTCTGCAGGCACAACACAAAGAAAATGTGACAATTACCATAAAAAGATTTTTTTTTACATACACATTTATATATATATATATATATATAAGAGAGATATCTATCTCTGTCTATAAAAGGCAGGATGTGTGTGTGTAACGAATGCACGGCGGCAATTTTAGACAGATTTGCACCAAAATTTACATGTACATGCTCCAAGTTAGTGCAAAGGCCAAGACTGACCTTGCATTTCCCAATTCCCATCGATAGTGGAAATAATCAATTTTTTTCATGCTTCTACAGCAGTTTTCATGTAGTTTGTGGTCATTTTGTACTGGCCAGAGTGAGAGCCTATAGCTGGCAGCCACGAATAGGCAGGAAGATTCTATTGGCCAACATGAGAGCAAACAGCTGACTGACACAAATGTTAACTAGCATGCAAAAAAATCGATAGCTGCATTCGTCACAAGTGGGAAAAAATTAAATCTGCATGGCACTTTACTCCAATTGGCTCATTAGCTTGCTTAAACTCAACGTTGATTCTGATTCCACAGAACTGGGTTGGGTGTGAAAAAGTATTTGTTGTTAACATTCTTTTTTCTTTTGGTTTTTCCAGTTACGAGTCCTTTTTTAAAGCTGATTGTTTTGTGTTCATTTTGTTTCATAACAGATTTAATGTTTAGTATAGAGCTCAGAAAAAATTTGCAGTTTGAGATAGGCAAGAAGTAAGGCATGTAGCAACATCAGCACAGCAAAGGGCACTCCTTTAAAGGCAAGGTAGGGAAAAACATTTTATGTCAAGTGATAGATTGCTGTATGAGTCATATGATTTTTGAATCAAGCACAGGCAATGCCGGGTCATGCTGCTAGTATATATTTTGTCATCCACAGACTGACTGTTTCACTGCATCACAGCTCCCCATTGTGGCATGCCAGGGATTTTAGATAAACACACAGTGTCAGTGTCTGAGAAAACTCGATTCAATTTACCGAAGAGTCTTGCATTATTAGCTGTAATAGTCACTGTTTACAAACCCACACTTTCTATGAGAGAGAGAGTGTGCACAATAGTTATTGGATCAGAAAAAATAAAGTTCAATACTTATCAGATGTCAGCCCAGAGTTTTGTAATTTCTCACTCCTCTGTACTTTGTTGTTTTGAGCAATATTTAATGAGAAATAACTTTTGATAATATAGTTTTACATATATGCATGTATATACAGGGAGCAATGGTTAAATTGTCACCATTTTTAATTTTGTCCACACGTTTTTTTTTTATTTTGTCAACTGCACAGTATAGTAGGGTCAGTTGGGCACTCTTCTGTGAGAAAAAGGAACACCATGACTCAATTCACTCCACAAGATATTTGGAAATGACATGCTGTACTGCTTGGCATTTGAGCTAGTAGCTCAAAGACAAAAATTTTAAGAGTGTTTGGGTGGCAATCTGAGGACAGTGCAGAGGATTTGAAAAGAGTTGGATGAGTCTAATGGCAGCTCAGAAAACTCACTGATCATTCTGATAAAAGAACACAGGCCTACATCAAGTGCCTTGAGGAGGTAATGCAGCCCTGGATCAAGAGGGTGGGTACTGGAAGGCTCTGTCAGGACTCTGGCTTCTCCTGCTTGTGTGGCATGGTGCAGTCATAGTTGTCAGACAATTTCTGCAACCATACTTACTTAACCTCCCCAGACTGCAATCCTCTTGATTATTATGTGGGGTACAGTTGAGCGAGAGACCAACAAAACTCCTTGCAGCACCAAAGATGAACTGAAGGCAAGGACTATAGCAGTATTCATGAACTTAAACAAGGAGACCACCTAGGTAAGTCATCTGGAGACCATGGTTGAAGACATTGGTGATTTTATTGAATAAATTTACTCTTTGGTATTACCTATTCAAATATAAGTATCCACTAAAAATAATCTTTAAAGATATATAAATAAATAAATGCCATGAGACCAAGAGAAAAGGCAATTCACATAAAATGTTACTAAGAGGTTAAATTCCTTGTTCAGGATAGCAGAAATAGAATTATCTGAGATTAAACATTACAATAAATAAATAAATTTACTTTGTAGCCACAGGGAAGTCTTTATTGCCTCTGTTGTCTGCCAATGCCCAACCAACATTTTGTGTATGGATATTGTGTGTATTCAAGTACTGGGAAGTTGCTTCTGTAGCAAACAGCTGGAGAAAATAAAAAATAAAAATGATTTTTTTAAAGCAATTGAGAGTAAATGACAATCTTTCATGAGAAATTTCTTTGCCTCAAATCATATTCTGGAAATAATTAAAATGGTTGTGAAGTCAATAGTTTCCTTGGAAGGGTTCAGAAAAATCATGTAACAATGGCTTCTCACTAAAACGTCTGGAATTTTGATTGAAGTGGGGGGGGAAAAAATAGTGTATCAAAAGAACATTTCTCTCTTGCTACCACTGTTACCTTATACCTCCAAAATTAATTTTTATTGTTTTAAAAATATACTTTTAGAATTTAATAAAGTCTTAATATCCAAGACTAAATTTATAAATATAATAAAAATGTATGACTAGAATAATAATAGAAATTGGAAAATTAAAAACAAAGTAATCTGAAGTAGTTATGATTAGAATAAAAAAATTTGTATAAATTCAAATATCTCATGGTTTTATTAAAATTACAAAAATATCTCCTATAGTTTTTATTATTTTAAATAGGTATTTCCACCAGAAAAGTCCAAAGCAAAACTAAAAAGTTAATTTTCAAATAGTTATGGTTAATTGCAGATTATAAATTAATAACTTTATAAATAAATGCTATTTATATATTCAATTGCTTAAAATTTTTGTTATCATTCTCATGAAAAAAAATAATGTACAAATTCAGTTTGATATGTTAAGATTTTATTAAAATTCTAAAAAAATTTCTTTAAAAATTACTGAAAAGGTATATTAGTAACAGTCATGTCAAGAGAAATGCATTCTTTTGACATACCAGATTTTTATAGTTTTTTTTTTTTTTTTGTTTTTTCCTTTTTACCTACTCTAAAATTTGCCAAAAATCTTATTCTTTCTATTTGTGAGAATTAATTATTGTGTATTTGAAATAGTTATTTAGTTGCTACTGCAACTAAAGATTACAGGAGACAGAGAATCAACTGACCAATTTGATATTTCAAACTACAAATTTTTTTTTTTTTTATTTAAAATCATCAAAATATATTCTGGATTATAAGAATAATTCTTTATTTGCAGGTGAATATTACATTATTTTTTTTTATTTTTTTTTATTTTTTAGAATAATGTTTCCAGATAAAACGCCAACTATTTAACCCATAAGGGGGGGAGATTAGAAGACGTAGAAGGAAAGAAACAAGTTTGCTCAAAATATATAAAGTTATTGTTTTATTACTAACATGTCTATAAGTATGATGTGACAGTTTTGTCTTGATAAGTCGTAATAGAAAAGGGGGTTCATGCCGATTTCATAAATGTTTTGTATAAGGGAAGCAACTTACCTTGAAACCAAGATCGGAAAGTTTTTTGGCGATGGGAAGGAAGTTAGAATGGAAAGAATGCTGAACACCAATCATTACATGGCCTCCTTTTCGAGGCATTTTGAAACCAGATGACATCATAGCTTTCAAAAAGGCAGTGTATTTTGTCGATCCAAAACAGGCAACCTGAAATTAGCACATCTGATTTTTATTGAAGGGTGAGAATTATTATTTTCATGAACATTTTTTTTTCTCTCTTGCTCTTAACAAGAATTTACTTCTATTGAAAATCATGCAAAGTAATGTAAAGGAAAAGAGAAAAAAAAAAAAAAAAAACTTTTTTTCTCTTGTCTGTCAACAGGTAAAACTTTTTTCTTTTTTTATTCAGGCTCTGTCACAACTTCTTTCCAAGAACAGATGCCCTAATCCAATGTTTTCCCCAATCCCTAAAATCTTGACCTCTCCAAGTCGAAGGTTAACTTATCTTACTTGCATAACCCCCATAAACTGAAAGTTTTTTTTGTTTTTACATTCACACAATACCACACAGTAACCTAACAAGTGACTTTTGAGAATTGTATTGGGTGAATATTAATATAAAAATAAATGTATTATTACATTTATTTAGCATTAAATCATTGTATTCAACTCATTCATATTACTAATTATTTAACTTATTTACTTGTTAGCTTTCTTGCCTTTTCTTAAATTTATACAACATAGCACAGTAATCCTCTATCTTGACTGGCTCTTAAGATCATTGACCAAAAGACTAAGATGACATTACTATAGTGTTTTTTTTTCTTTTGTTTTTTCTTTTGTGTAGATTCATTTGGGCTCATTAATCACAAAACACAAGAGTAATACTCACCTCTCCAGTTGAGGCCATTTCACACCTAAGCAGGGGATCTGCATCTCTAAGTCGGGGCCAGGAGAACATAGGTGCCTAAAATAATGGTCAAATAAAAAAATATTTCCATGAAAGACATATGGGAGAATAGGATGTATAAATTTCTATATATTTGAACAAATGTTAGGCAGATGAATGACAAAGTGGATGTATATGAAGTCTGACATCAGAAAACAAGATGGCATCAAATCCTTCTAAATGCAAAAAAAGATGTTTAGCCAAAAACATTGCCTACCTCTCACCTACCCTGCACATCAAAGTTTCAAAGCTGGGTTCCAGACTAAATATTTACATCATTGTCCCAAAATCATTTTTAAAAAATTTAAACTTTCCTAATTTCTTATCATTTATAGTTGTTAGCCACATAAAAAAAATAATCACAATTAAAATGTTTTGAAATAAAGATTTATTTTGATCCATTCAATTTTTAATCATTTGTTTTTAACACAGTGAACTTCTAGTTGACAGGATAATAAAAACTGCCAACAAGTTATGCTTGGCATTTTCTGATACATTTTCATTGGCAGGCACCAACAAGTTTATTTGCAGTGATAGTTTTAGTGTGAAAACAATGTTTAGACTTCAAGTGAAGCTATAAATCAACACAAAAAAATGTTTTTATTGCCTAAGTTGGCAATTATAAATTTGGCATTTGAAGTCAGATTTCATAATTGACAGTCAATATTTTAATGTAAGTATTATAAGCATTAATTAAAAAAAAAAAACAGCTAAAATATTAAATTTTAAAAAATGAATAAATAGAAAAATGAATTAATTCAATTTACAGTAATTTTTATAAAAATCATATCTTTATTTTTATTTAAACATTTCACTTAAATCATTTTGAATAATTTTACCTGCAAATGTAATTAATTTTCATGTGCAGAGTAACATTCATTAAGAATTGTGCTTAATGAATTCATTTTCTATATAAATAATATTAGCAGATTTTATCTATTCATAATCAAAAAAGATTTTGAAGTCTATCAAAAAAATGTCCACTTAAAATTACCTGCCTCAGGTCATGACTAAATTCCCCGCCCTTGTATTTTCAATTTAGTTTATGATAAGCAAAAGACATAATGCATAAATGTTTGTTAATGGCTCATTCAAATCTTTGATTTAAAAAAAAAAAAAAAAAATTACTTTCTTTATTAATTCTTCCAATTACAATCTCTAGATATATAACAAAAACACTAGACCAAATATGGCAGCAGTAGTTGATATATGAATAAATGGTAAACTTATGGCGGTACAGAAATCCTTCACACCTATTTGGCCTTGTATCAAACTAAAATTAATTGAGAAGACAGGATGAGTAAAAAGAGACAACTTACCTTAATACCAACATATGTTTTGGGATTTTGTGGGTTTTCTAATGTTGGCAGTTGGTCAATATCAACAGGGAGTCCCAGCATTACCTTAGTAGCTGTAGCAATAAAGTCAGTACCAGTTGTTTTGGAGACAAAAGGACAGGAACGTGAGGCTCGTAAATTCAACTCAATCACCTTGAAAGAAAAAAAAAAAAGTAATGTTAGGTAAAATTTGTCTTCAGAATAAGTGAGAAATAAATATTGGTGGCTTTATTCCTAAAACATTGTATTTTATTGTTTCATTAGATCTATCAATCCTTTTGTATCACAAGATGTTGTCCAGATAAAGAAGTCACTTATCTCCCTTTGGTGGAGATAAGAAGTCACCTGACAGTGACTTTGTGACATCACTTCATACAGTGATAAAAAGTGGCAGCCAAATTTCAGTTCATTGACAGCAAACAAGTGGTAAGGTTGCTTTCTTTAGCTCAATTTACCTCCCCAGCAGCTTACAAGTCCATGGTGCCATTTCCTTTAGGGAACATATCCTTCCCAGATATAGAATGAAACACCAGCTTAATCATCAATGTGGGAAAACCCAAGACTTGTTGTTTCCTGTTTATAGAATGTGTCCTCATCTAAGACATAGATGAATCCAGCCCAATTGAATTTGGAGTCCTAAAAATGGCTTCTCCAGTTATAGAAGTATCTACATTATTATATAAGATTCTTTCATTTTATTTCTCCATAAACTCTGCTTTGCTGTGTAGATATGTGATATATTGTTCCCTACCTGGGCCATGTGTATACATATGTACATATATTGTTTTGCTTATTTCTTAGTAATATAAAAGTCTCTCTGAGAACAAAGCATGCTTGTTATTCTTTTTCCTTTTCAGCCATTCTGTTCTGTCCATGAAGTACAGTGTTATTATGTCACAGATATAATGATGCCCATAATGGGGGAAATACAAATGAGCTCTTCCATTATAGCATCATTGATGATTTTCAAGGTTTTCTTTTCGTATCTATTAGATATTCTTATTAACTATTTACAGTTGGTAGGTAGTGGCAGCTAATAACATTTCCACTCCCTGTTCTGTAATAATGGCTATAAAATTACAAATACATATCTGTTAATTGTATTTGAGTGGCCAAGAGGTTAGAATGTTAATGGATAAATAATCAAAAAATATTATTTTTATGTATATTAAAAAACTCAGAAATGGTGTATCAAAAGGACAGTTTTTCCCTTGATGACACTATTATTTTAACTACCTTCAGCCGTCTGTAATGTTTATTTTTTTAAAAAGTGATGATTAGAATTTTAGTAAAATCTGAACATATGAAAGTGAATTTATATTATTTTCTTGATTATTTTACTATTTATTAATTATATTTATTATTGGAATGATTGGCAAAAAATTGGCTAACTGCCAAACAATTCAAACTTTATAAAATAATAAATAAGGATTGTCTCATAGTTTAATAATTAAGTTAATTTTTATAAATTTATTAATAAAAAATTTCATATTTCTGTAATGAATGAGAAAATCACCTACTTTGAAAGAGTTTGTACTTTGTGTGTAGTCTGCTAAAGGAACAATAAAGAAAATAGCAAAATGAGTTACTTTAAGTATCAGAGAAATTATGCTAATATTCTTTCCTCCCTGAATGGTGTGGCCAATCAGGAAATTCCTAGGTGAATAAAGGCCATTGCTTCTTTATTTGCTTAGCAAGGGAGAATTATTTTTGAGCTTGATGAGTGTGTGTTTCTGCTGTTACGAAGGGACCATTAAATTTCTGATCCCGTTTTTAATTACTACATTGCCTGCTAGACTGTTTTCAGCAGGTTCATGGTTGAACTTCATGTTGGCACATGGATTTTTTGTTTTTTTTTGTTTCTACTGACCCCATTGGTTGATACCCAAACAATTTCTTTATAAATTGGTAAATTATAAAAATTGTAATGGTTTTTACAATGTTGGAAATATAAAATTATTCTTGTAAATAAACAATGTTTGATATTTTTTGTCGTAAATTCTAACAAAAGAAAGTGTATAAATTCATTTTCCTTGTATGTTTAGGTTTTATTCTAATCACCACAGATTGTAGATCATTTGTGATATCAGCTACTAATTTGACCAATCACATTTACTATTAAGACTGGAGTAAATAGTTATCATAAATTAACTTTCATCATATGTTTAGGTTTTATTACAATTCTAATCATCGCTTTTTAAAATGATAGCCATTGCTGAGGAGTGAAGGTAGTTAAAATAATAGCGGTGTCAAGGGAAAAATTATCCTTTTGATATTCCTTTTTTTTTTTTTTTGCACGCAATGTTAGTTGAAGTTTGCCAAGAACTCTTAAAATGTTTAAAATTGAGCACTCTTGTGTGTGTGTGTGTGTGTATATATATATATATATATATATATATGAGGAAATGAATATACAAAATGCAAATTAGATATATATTTTTCTCTTACCTTTACAGAATTATTTGCTACGATGTATTGAATATTAAATGGGCCAGTGATTTGGAATTTATGTGCAATCTTTGCTGTGGAATGACGAATCTACAAACAAAGCAAAATATGCAGACATTAAACATTAAAGATGCATTTTAAAATTTTCTCCAATATACTTTGAAAGAAAGGAATTTCATCAAAGGCAAAATATACACACAAATGAAATGGGGATAGATACATCAATTTTGGTAAATAAAACAAGAAAAATAAATAGTAAAATCTAAAGATAGATAATTTTAGATCAATGTTTTTTTGTCCAATTTTTTTCACCTGGTTATCTCCCTTCCACATCTGTCGTCAGGTGGTAATGTCTTGATGACAAGGTAAACATCTTCAAATTGTTTTTTTTCCAAAGATTTAAGGTGAAGCACCAACACTGAACAGTGCTGGATTTAGCAGGCTGAATGAAGCCTAGGACATCAAAATCTAGGATGCCTCTAACCAAGGTGTATAATATTTTTGACACTGACATATAAGCCTTTCTTACACATGCTGTCATAATGCATTGTAAACTCTAAACAGCCCTTCAAGAATTTTAAACATCCATCATCTTCCTCAGATTTACTCCAAGTTGTTTAATTTAACACTGCTGTTTCCCTCTACTCATGAAAATGAGGGATTTGAATAGCCTAAGGCATCCCTTACTCTAAATTTGGCAAAATATTCACACAAATGAAATGGGGATAAGTACATCAACTTTGGTAAGGAAAACAAAAAATAACTAGTAAAATCTAAAAGTTGATAATTTTAGATCAATGTTGGTTTTTTTTGTCCAAGTTTGTCCCCTAGTTATCTCGCTTGCAAATATGTTGTCAGGTGGTAGGTTTTTGATGACAAGTTAAACATCATCAAACTGTTTTTTTTTTCCAAAGATTTAAGATGAAACACTAACATGAAAGTAGAGTAAAACAGTAAGACCCACACATGAAAACCTAATAACAGAAAGAATTTATAGTAAGCCACCATTTAGCTTTAATATAAGAATCTGTTGGACATAAAATGGAGGATTGTTTTTTTTTATTGATAGCTATATAATAAATGCCAATGTGTCACACTCTTTCAATTAAAGGGACACAACTCTCAATAGCTCATCTTCAATGAACTTTTAAAAGGTAAGCTTAAATATTAATGGAATACTTAAATGCAGCGATCAATTTTGAGTTCTTCTGTAGTTTATTGTTGCCTATCACATCTACTCCTCCCTACCTATTGTGATGAAGACCCAACTAAGAGCCCACTGCAAGAGCTAGCTTAAATCCCACCTGATAGAGCAGCTTTTAAGCTAGTTAAGCAATAAACTGTAAACAAAAAAAAATGGTGATGAGAAGTGGGGGGGGCAAAATGTGCAGTGCCTACTTCGACTTCCTCTTTGTCCGACTGTCAATCTGTACATCCAACTCTGTTGCACGCTGTCCGCCAAATGACTTCAGTTCACCTGTGCTGCTGGCACCCTGCTTTTTATGCTACGGCCAAAATTTGCATGTGTACAAATATTGTCTAGTTTAGGATGAGATATGTGTGCATAAATTGCGTCTTCAATAGTGGACATATTTCTTTTTATCATCACTTTGCAAGCAAGACACGTACATGCTCGTTTCAAATTCTGAGGTAAGTCATGTCTTGTCACAAACTGACCTTCCCCCACAAAAAAAAAAAAAGCTTGTATGTCGGTGAGGCTAATTAATACATAGTTGGCATTTTGAATTTAAGTTTTTTCTCAGACTGGTTGCCACCCAAGGCTATGGGACCCAGTCTGTTCTCATAGATTTGTTAATCTTAACTGTACAAGTTCAAAATTGTACCTAATACAAAATCAACTTTACATCAAGAGAAACTTTAAAACAACTTACATCATCAGAAGAATAACATTGTTGTTCTTTAGAGAGAAAATAAATGATGATCTGAAATAAACTAAGCATTTATTGCTCTCTAATATCATTTGGATCATAATATGGCATTTCTTGTTCCAGTGTCCTTGACAAAGCCACATTGTTCTTCTATTTCTGGTTGAATTCTGCTTTCATCAGAATTCAGATTATTAGCTCTGTTAGGAGGCTCATTAAGCTGATCGTACGAAAGAATTTGCGTTCATTTGAAACTTGTTTCTTAGGCAGTGAAGGTTACTCCCAATACACAAAAAAAAGTCATGAAAAACATGGCTACTATATGTCTTCATTGGTTTGGAAAGAGCTGTCAACACAGTTTATAATACAAATACTAACCACCAACATTTCACATAGTACAGACATACAGTTACACAGCAGTGAAAGTTTTAATATATACTTTTAATCAAATTTTAAGTGGGCAGTGACTGACCACAACTGTCAGTTTCATGTGCTTTCAGGCAATCGGTGACTAGTGTGTGAAAATAGGAACCCTTATACACCCAGGCAAGTTAAAGATAAGTATTTTTATTAATATATAAGTAGACACTGAGGTCAACAGCCACGGGTGACAGTCTGTTTCATGCTTAAACACAATTTTCAGGCCATGAAGATTGTGTTTAAGCATGGAACAGACTGTCACCCCTGGCTATTGACTCCAATGTCCACATTTATATTTACATATGCGCTATGCTTGATATTGAACACTTTAACCCATAAACATATATATTTTATAACCAATCAAGTTAGCTCAGACATTCATGAGGCCATCATGTTCCTGAATCAAGGTCAGAAAGTAATTAAGGAGGCATTCTGTGTCATAACAAAGCTGGTCAATATAGGTGGTTGCTGGGCGACCAAATTGCTAGATGTCAAGAACAGTAAATCACTCACAAGTTCTTGTCAGTAGGGTCCTGCAAAGTGCATTCTGTGTTTGCCTAAGATTGTAGAAATATCTATGCCGGTGCCTCTAAAACTGAATTCATAAACTTCAACCAGCCAGGCTCAATACAAATTGTCTCAAGTAAATCTAAAAAAATCTGTCAAATCTTTTACATACCTAGAAAGCAAGATAAATTCTACTGAAAAGAATGTGAAAATTTACATGCCTAAAGACTGGGCTGCCTTGAATAAAATGGATGTAATCTGGAAATCAGAACTGCCAGACAATTTCAGATGGAGATTCTTTCAGCAATAATTTAACTTTCTTGATGGATATTGTTAATGAAAAAGCTGCTGTAGAGGTGGTGTTAACGTACGATGCCACTGCCTGGACATTAACCAAAACTATAGACCCGTCCCTGATATAAACATAACATACCTTAAAACTATATTTTATCATATATACATATGTTATTTTTAGAGAATACCCATATTTGAGTAGATGATTTCTAAAATTAGTACACATACATTTCAGTTATAATCCTTTACTCAAAAGAATCTTCAATAAGAACAACATTTAAGGTTAGTTACAGTTGTACTAGAAACCTTGAGCAATATATAGCCCAACATAATAGTGTAACACTAATAGCAATTGTAACATTGATAATCAAAAATGTAATTGCTGTAAAGACACCATCTGTCCTATGAATAACAAATGTATGTATGAAGGAGTCATCTATAAGGCTAGCATTAGGTATAATGATGAAATTAAATTTTATTTTTGGTCAACAGCAGATAATTGGAAAAAGCTTTTTTACTATCACAAGATGACCCTTAATAACAAGAAATATGCAAATGCCAAAGCACTCTCAAAGTTTTACTGGGATATCGAGACAGATGACTACAAACCGGTAGTAAATTGGGTGTTCATCACCAAAATCAAACCATTTTCCAGCCAAGGTGAACGATGCAACCAGTGTTTGCTGGAAAATAAATTCATCCTCAAAAATAATAATTTAAATCTTTTTAATAAGCATAATGATCTTATGTTAAGTTGTAATCACAGGAGAAGGTTTCTCTTAAAATATTGTAATCCTGGATAAATATATTATTCTTTTACGTTTATATTTTAGGTTATATATTGATTACCTCCCTTTAACCATTTCAACATCTATTTCTTCTCAAATCATCGACCAGTGTCTCTTAAAAGTTAAACTTCCTTCAGTTCCCTTTTTACCTTATTTTATTTTATTTTTTTTTTAATTTCCAAATGGCTCCTGCTTACACCCAATTTTCTGTATTTAGACCCCAGTATTATTTTTGTCCTATTTTAAATTTGAGCTGTGAATCTGCACTCCTCCCATGAATCCCTATATATATATAATTTTAAATGATAAGTTATATCATGTGCCTGAAGAGTTGGGTAGCCAACAAAACTTAAGTTGCACTCCAAATGTAGGTATATGTATATTTATTAATATATATTTCTTAGCTCTGTCTAACCACATCGACCACCGTTATGGACATCAGGAACAGTTCATATATGATAAAGAAACTAACCTTATTAAGAGCCTCTTGAGAAATGGTTTGTGTGGGCAAGATTAAAGTGGCATCACCACTATGGACACCAGCATTCTCCACATGTTCACAAATGGCATGACAGACAACCTAAAAAAAAAAAAAAAAAAGATAATTATATATATATATATATATATGTGTGTGTGTATACACAGAAAAATAAAGCAATAATTTCTGCCTGCAAAAAAAAAAAAAAACAGAATAGGAAAAGGATTTTTCTTTTTTTTTTTCTCCCCCTTGGCACCGCATTTATGTAAGCGTCCTGAAAGCAAAGGAAGTAGTTGTCAGAGATTACTTCCACAACACAAAGAAAAATCACTGTAAGTACAGACTCGAATATCGGGGGGCAGAAAGACATGCTGAAAACTCAAATCACAATGCGTGTAACCAGTCAGAAAAATAACCCACTCACTAACAAACACCGTGGCCAAAAATGCCTGAATTTTCCGATCTCGAATCAAGAACACCAACTGCTTTTATCGGCAGAACCTATTTTTTTTCTTCATTTGTCGACAGCTGGGATAGGATGTTCCATAATTTGCATATCAAAATACTTTTATAGCGACTCCTGCGACGGACTTGTTTTTTTTTTCTTTAATTCAATTTTCAGCATGTCATGCGGAATACGTGCCCTTCAGTTTGGTAAGTAATTTTCTTTTTCGCCACATCAAAATTCCATCATAGAATACACGCGACACGCTGTCACTTGGTTTGACGAGGTAAGTCGCCATTTTCTTCACTATAATTTATTTTAACAAGCTTCACTCCTCAGCAATGTTTGTTTTACAAACAATGATTAGAATTATAATAAAACCTAAAGATATGATGAAAGTTAATTTATGAATTTTTTTGGTTCTTGAGAATTGACAACAAAAGCAATAAACACTCTTTATTCATTAGATTGTTTATTTACACTTTTATTATATCATTTATTGTAATTGTTGGTAAAACATTAGCTAATTGTCAATTGATACAAATCTTATAAAATGGTAAAAAAGATTTCCTTATAGTTGGTTCACAAATTTTAATAATTTAGTAAATGTTTATAAATTTAGAAATAAAAATGGTTTTCGTATTTATTTATTTATTTATAAATGACAAATATTAGTTTTAAGAATGTTACAAATATAAAATTATTCTGGTAAATAAACAATCTGGATATAGCAGCAATACAATGAAATCAATGACACAGTTCTCATCCAATTCAAGCTTATCAAATTGTGAAATGAAAGTTATCTTGAATGGCCACTCTTCTAGATCTTTTTGCATTAATGCAGATGTTCCTCAGGACTATTCTTGGAGCTACGTGGTTTCTAATTTTCAGAAATGACCTTGGTGTCATCATTTCTCAACTCAGTATCCATAAAGAATGGTAAAGCTCAGGTAGTTGCTATGGATATCTTGAAGGCATTTGACAAGGTTTAGAATAATGGTCTACTTCACAAGTTGAAAGGTTATGGTATTTCTGGAGCAATTTTTGAACTGATTCAGTCTTTCTTATGAAATCGTGAAATGAAAGTCATCTTGAATGGCCACTCTTCTAGATCTTTTTGCATTAATGAAAGTGCCTCTCAGACATTTATCTTGTCTTATGTAGTTCCTAATTTTCATCAGTTCACAACTTGAAATTTATAAAATCTTTTTCTTAAAATTTTTTTTTTTAGGAAAACAGGTGTCTACAACAGCCCTCTACCTTGAGTGGCTCTTGGGCCATTTATTGGGTAAATATTTAATATTAAAAAAAAAAAATAATGATAAATCCTCTACACTAAGAAAATGCTGGTGGGGATATAAACTGCAATTATTTTTTATATAAACAAGACAAAGCTTATAATCCACCTGGGTCTTATGATATTAATAGCTTTATATTATTAATTGTTATGATATTAATATTATGTTATATTAATATCTTCATTTTTTATATTCAGAAAACCATGTCAGGTGGAATAATTCTGCTATTTAGGAAAGTTTTTCATAAATTTTGTTAGGATGAATTGTCATTATTTGCTTTGCTATTTGGAACAAATTTGGTTGTTATACTAACAAGAGATCGGTGAATTAAAACATATCTGATTCTCTGCTTGTTGTGAGTTCAAACCCTGGACCTGGTAATGCTGAGAGTCCCATACACTGCTTCAGTGGAAGAAACAGGCAAGTGACAATATAACAATGATTAGTATTAAGTATAATTAATTATTAACTGATATGAAATATCCCTTAAACAGGGAAAGGTATATGACAACAGTTTGACCATATGGATTAAATAAAAGATTCAGTACAAAATTTTCAGAAAGCTGCCAAGTATAAAAATGGTACCCCAACCATCACAGAAGGCCAGAGGGTAGAAAAGACACACCTATGATCAGCATGCTGCTCTGAGTAGCAAGGCATATAATAGTTTTCTGTTTGTCATGGAATTTTCTACACAGGGGGAGAGCTAATATGCGATATCGTTAAAATGCCATACACTACTCCATGGACTAAAGGGTTACAGCATCCATAACAACATGGGAAGGAGTTGTTTCTCCTATACTGGTCACCAATCAAAACTAAAGAGTCTAGTTTATCTTACTATTCAATCCATAGCTGGGAGGAGAAGAAATATCTTTCCCAAGTATATTTGCACAATATTAATTAGGTTTTATTTACAGTGACAAGCATGTATAAAAATAATAGATTTGTCAAACCAACAATATCTTAGGTTAATCTCTGAAAAGTTTTCATTTTTTTTTTTTTTTTTAATTGTTCAACATTCACTCATTGGTTAACTGGAGTAGAAAATGGCTCATAAATTTTAATGTCTCCAAAATGAAACTTCTCTCATTTAGCCACCAAAGAGTTAATTCCTCGTTCGCCATTAGCATGATTGATGCTAGACTCCAGGAGAGTCTCTCTCTGTGCCTCTTCTTGGCCTCACACTTTCAAACGACTTGAAGTGAAACAATTATATTGAATCAATAGCTGCATCTACTGCAAGAAAAGCTGGCTGTGTCATACCAGAAGTTTTTTTTTTAGTCCAACTTGCATATCTACCAATCTACTATTCATCCGTGCATTGAGTACTGTTACCACATCTGGTCTGGTGCCCCAGCTGTTCATCTTGAGGTTCTGCAATGTAATCGATCATGAGTTGACATCTCAAGTCCAGTCACATTCTCACAAACATGTGGCTTCCCTCTGTCTTTTCTACAAATATTTTCCTGGCAACTGTTCTGTCAAGTTTTCTTCCCTGGTACCCTGACAATATAAATTTAAGCATGCTACTAGACTAAAATCTAGGTCCCACGCTTTTACTGTTAAAACAGTTAAATGTTTTTCAAATAGAGGAACAAAATGAATAAAAAAAACAGGAGGGAAAGCTATTCTTAGCCAACGCTTTTTGTCCTCTGAGGGACCATAAAGGAAAATGCAGGTTTTATTTTGTTGTGCGTGTTTTTCTTGCATGTCTCACCTGTGGAAATCCATTCCATTTACTTGCTTCCCTGCACTCCACACAAATTTTTTTTCTTTCACCTTCACTATGTAATCCCCTGCAAACCAGTGACACTCCTACCTCTTTTTATTTAGCTAAGTTATTGCTTATCCATTTCCACTGAGTGAACTGCCCAATCCAGAAATTAAGCTCACAATCTCTATGTCATCAAATTTACAAACTAGCTTTAATCCATTGGGCCATTGACCCATACGATAATGGCCTGGTGGGTGACTTAAATGTAATATTAATAAGAGTTTATTTACACAGACAAAGAAATTAGGAACCACATAATAAGTCAAGATAGAGTCCTGAGAGACACTTTCATTAATGCAAAAAGATCAAGAAGAGTAGCCATTAAAGACAACTTTCATTTCATAATTTGATAAGTTTGAATCAGATGAAAATTGTGCCACTGATTTTATTGTATTGTTGCTATATCCAGATTGCAAGGAACCAATAAACTTTAAAAATATTTTTTGGGAGGGGAAACAAAATTGATTTCAATGGGAAGGTTACTTACATAGCCTTTGTCAGCTACAGCATCCATTTCAAGTTCTTTGGCCCCTTCAATAAATTTGGTGATTACAACAGGATACTTTTCAGAAACTTGGGTAGCTTGTTTCAAGTAATTCTGCAATTGCTCCGGGTCATAAGCAACATTCATAGCTGAACCACTGAGAATGTAAGAAGGACGAAGAAGACAGGGGTATCCCACGCTAGCAGCAAAATCCAGGGCTTCATCCTGCAAAGAGATTTTAATTCTGTTTGGATAAACATGCCCACAAAAAAAAAAAAACAGAATGGCATAAAGACAGTTTTTCCCTTGACACCACTATTATTTTAACTACCTTTACTCCTCGATAATGCTTATTGCTTTAAAAAGCCATGATTAGAATTGTAGTAAAATATAAACATGTGAAAATGAATTTATACATTTTCTTTGTTCTTGAAAATTGACAACAAAAATAATAAACCATTCATCTTCCCACAGGGCCTCAGACTCAACATGAAGGACTACATCAAGTGCCTTGAGGAGGTAGTGCTGCCTTGGGTCAAGAGAGTGGCTGCTGGAAGACCCTATGTCTGGCAACAGGAATCTACGCCATGCCACACAAGGAGAGAACCCAATCATGTCTGTCAGACATTTTCTGTGGTCACTTTCATGTGGCCACCTAACTCCCCAAACTGTAATCCCCTTGATTATTATATGTGAGACAGAGTTGAGCGAGAGACCAACAAAACTCCTTGTAACATTGAAGATGAACTGAAGGCAAGGATTATGGCAGCATTTGCCAATTTAAACAAGGAGATCATCCAGAAGAGTTTCAGGAGATTCCAGAGTCATCTGGAAACTGTGGGTGAAGTCAATGAATAAATTTTCTCTTAAGTATTTCAAGATAGTTTTGTGTAATTTAAGTAAATATATCTATTAAAATGAGGTGTCCATGTTATTTTTATTTTTGCGTAATTTAGATGGCAATTTATCTATCGCACTATGTACAGGATTTTTTCTGTGGCCATTTTTTAATTCTATCACTTGTTTTAAGCAGCTGTATTCCTGGCCCTTTTCTAGGTCTTCATCTTTTATTTTCCTGATCATTTTCAGAATAAACCTATTTTCAGAATTTCCATTTTGAATATCTCCAATGAACATGTATCTACCATTTTTAGTGTCACATTTGCTATATATATTTTAAATCCTGAGGGGGTAAGTGACATTCAAATGTACACCTGATCAAACAGGCTAACACAGTAATGAGGCATCTCTTTGTCAAAATTGAGTGCTCTGGCTGCTGGTATAGCATTTTTATACATCACATATATAATACATTAAAAGATTCCCTTTCTCTGTTGTGTGGCAATAATTTAGGAGTAGATTCTCTGACTGATGCCAAATTGGTAGAGTTTCAATCCCGGCTCAAATGTCTAGTCACACTGATGAGCTGTGATACAGTGAAGCAGGCTGTGTGTGTGTGTATATATATATATATATATATATATATATATATATATATAGTGGATATTGATGCCAACACCCAGAAGTGACAGTGTTTCATGCTAATCGTAATCATAAGGCCATGTGCATTTTGTTTTGCTTGACTTTTATATATATATATATATATATATATATGCTGTATATATAAAATGTCAAGCAAAAACAACACATGACCTGATGATTGCATTTAGCATGAAACTGTCACTTCTAGGTTTTGACTTGTGTTCACTTTTATATTTACATATATTCTATCCCTGATATTGAGCAATTTAACCCATAAATATTGCATGCCTTAAAACTATATTTTATCTTATATATATATATATATATATATATATATGTATAAATAAATAAAATTTATATAGTTTTATATACTACCAATGATATAACAATCAAAATTTCAACAAACCGATGTTGTTTCTACATTTGTTTCCCCATTGGCAAATATATAATTAATATTAATTCAAGCAACATCTACACAACCACTACCTTAGCATGCCAATTAACTTGCCATTTATCTGATACTGATTCAGCTAAGCAGCGTATTAGCAACCAAGTAATTTGAACATGAAATCACATATGTGATTTCATTTCTATATTTAAAATTTGTTTACTTATGAATGTGTCTACTCTGTGTTGCAGAATTGCAGCCAATCTTCAGGAAACTTGATGGTAAGAGAGGACGTGATTTTGTGAAACTCAGAATAGTGATATTCATAACTGAAAAATAATTTTTATTAAATGCTCTTTCACTTAAGCACATTATCTACCAGAAACACTCTGGTTGACCAATTTTTTTGTCAAAATACAATATTTGTTATTGTTATATTATGGAGGAAGAGTGCTCAATATCAGGATGGAGCATTTGTAGATATAAACAGTATGGACATTGAAATCAACACTGCATGGTGACTGGTAATTTCATGTCTTAAAACAGGTCCTCACAAAATACAGCTTACTGTTTTTATACAGCTTGAGAGTCTGCCAAGTGTGACCCACAAGAAGTTTCCAGAATAGTAAATATTTTATGACCATCAGATTGCATCTGAAAAATTCATTTTTGTGGAAGTATGACTTTATTCAGCCAATATTTCTTTGCAATTAACGCATTCCTTCTTAATCCAAGAACACTAACCATCAATTAAAGTTACACCACTACTAACCATGGGTATATCATACCCAATTTTGAAAATATAAAAAAAAAAAAAAATTAAATTTAAATCTTTACTTGAAATATTTTACATGCAGGCACTTGAAACTTTGAATTAACATTAATAGGAACTGAAAAACATTATTTAGGTAAGAAAATCAGGTACTGAAAATTGTAATTAAAATAGGAAAATTTCTGCTGGGTACTATATACCCATGGTTAGTATTCTAGGGTTAAGGTGTACCTTCTTTGAGATACATTAATACATTTGTACCATTTCATTCACTTGGTAATTTACTGCAAAAAATGTATCCTTGCAAACTGCAGGCCATGTTTCTGAGAGCAATATGGTACTTTTTTTTTTTTTTTTGCAGGCCTGCATTAAGCAATCATCAAACCAAACACTACATATATGAGAGAGGGACCACCTATCAAATTGCATTATAGGTGCTTCTTGCTATTCATTTTGAAACTCTTGACAAAATCCAAAGAAGGATCTACAATGTAATCGATCTTAACTTGTTATCTCAACTTCAATCACTTTCTCACCAACATTACACGGCTTCCCTCTGTCTTTTCTTCAAATATTTTCATGCCAACTGCTCTGATGAGCTTTTTTTCCTGGCATTTCAACTACTTTTACTGTTAAAATAGCTAAATGCAACTGTCACTTCTACAATTTCTTTTCTCACACTTCCCACCTGTGGAACTCCTTTCAGTTTACTTGCTTCCCTGATAACTAAAATCTTCAAAAATTTAAATGCAACATCAATCACCATCTTTTATCATCTTGAATCCTATTCATCTTTTATCCTTTTCTCAATCTCCTGTCTTTTCTGACTTTCACTCACTGTAACCCCCTGCAAAGTAGTGGCATTCACACCTTGCTCAGAGTGAAATGATTAAAAACAAAAAAAAAACAGATTTACAAAAGAATAAGATGTTTACTTACCAAAGAACTGAGAGAACGCCATTCTGGTTGGTCAATTTCCAGTTCATCTAGAACAGCTGAGAAAACCGATCTGTTCTCAGCATTGTCTATCATTGTGGGGTTAGTACCCAAGATAGTGGCCCCCTGGTTGTACAGCGGAAGAGCCAGATTATTGGGGATTTGACCACCCACTGAGATAATCACTCCATTGCATACCTTAAAGCCAAAAAAATAATCATTAACCAATGAAGAAAGAGTATAATCATTCCTCTAAAACAATTTCAATTCTTCAGTTGCCAGAATAATTTGCATTTTTTGGTTATTTGAAAGTACCAAACTCTATTTTTTTTTTTTTTTTTAAATAGAATCTTTAACCAGATTTAAGGTAATGTTTACCAGAATATCAAACTTATGGGGTCATTTCATGATGAATTAGATACTTTTCACTTTTGTGAAAGCTTTGTATATGAATACCTTATGTTGGTAAAAAAAAAATTTTTTTGTGTGTGTGTGTGGGGGGGGGTTGTATCTACAAGAATTTAAAAAGACCTATTTCCCCCAGGAAGCTTAGTAACTGAGAAACTGACACTTTTTTTTTAATATTATCTCTAAGTTTAGTATATTATAGTACTTACACCATATGCATGGATATGATTTGTATTCTATCTTTGTGTTTTATAGTTAATCAGGGTTCACAAAGTATACATTGGTGGGGGGTGCGACCATAAGGAGATGTACATGAGCGAGATATATGTGCCCACTTTGAACTTGGATCAGCACATTATCTTGCTGTTGTGATGTCTTCTAGTCTCTGACAACTGACTTATTTGTTGTCACTCAACTCTATGCAAAATTAGAAGCAGTCCATTTTGCTTATGCCACTACACCACCCAAAAACAAAGAGGTTTTATGCCCTTCGTTGATCTGTGACTTCTCCAAACAATAGTATGAAATCTAATCTCTTTCTCAAAGTGTGTACTTGGTTATTTTCATTGGGGATCTAAGTCTGGACTCATCTTCATTCTGATCCTCAAACTACATGTCAAATTCATGCAAAATATCCTCCATAGTTTCTGTGTTCCCTATGTTCACTTTTACCATCAGAAGTACTCATGTTTTCCTCCCTTTCAAGTTCCTCCTCCATCTCAACATCTTTGTTGTCACTTCTAGGTCTTATTTGATCAGAATGAGCCAACAAATTTTCATTTTTGTTTTGTATTAAAAAATTATAATTTATTGCATTTAGTATAATCAGATCAATATGGTTTACATCCTTAAGGATTCCTCCCAAAAGTTCTTACATAAAGCTGTAAGAATATTTTTCTACAGTATTTTGTTTACAGAACTTTAAAATTTTAAAAATAAAGTAAACTAATATATATATATATATATATATATATATGTGTGTGTGTGTATTTAAGCAGCATATTTTCATTCAAAAAGTTTGATTAAATAATTTAGACATATCATGTCAATTAGTTTTTGTTGTGATCATTTCAAGTCTGCAAAAAAAAAAAAAAAAAAAAAAAAATTATATATGTATGAGCAAAAGTTACTTCCCTTATACTGGTAAAGAAACCCCCAAAACATATGAACTTTGAAATCTAGAATGCTGCACAAGCAGTAAAAATGAACAGTTGAAATGTTTTGAATTTACAGAAACATATATGCATACTCACAGACAACTTAACCCCCTGAAGATGATCTCAGAGGAGATTGAAAATATATGGAAAAATAAAAACTATTTGAAAGAAAATTTTGGTATTTTCATAAATCAGTTTTCTAAAGCTACCAAGAAATTAATCCAAGGATTGAAAGGATCACAAAGAAAACTAATCAACATGATATGTCTAAATGATTTAACCAGACTTGTTTGAATATATACGTAGGTATATACGTTGGAGTAGTAGACAATAGCTTGGATTGCAGAATCAAAGAGCAGAGTTTGAATTCCAGTTGAATCCATTGCATTCACTTATGTGCTAATGCCCTTGGGAAAGGGAATTAATCCTCTCCTTCTCCCACAAGCTATGGGTAAATAGCAGGGCAGACTGGGTTGTATAGCCTTGGATAGCAACTGGTCTAGAAGGATAACTCTGAATTCAAAACCTGTGGAGGGTCGTTTGAGGGCCTTGTGGTACATGATGCACCAGATCTCTCTATTTGGCCCTTCAAAAAGTGTGGTTTGTTCTGCACAAAGCCTTTACCACTATAATCAAATCATATATGCTGGTGTCTGGCTGTCAGGTCCTAGGAACTGAGCTGCTTGATCCTCATACATCGATTACAACAGGAGAGTCCACCATATATATATATATATATATATATATATAATGTATGCTTATTTCCAAGAATTAGATTAACAATAAATTTAGGTCAGAAAATAAAGATTTACCTCTTGTTGATAAATGTCAAAGATACGTTCAAGGGAAAGCTCCTCAAAATACAACTTGTCACATTCATCAAAATCAGTGCTAACTGTTTCAGGATTGTGATTCACAACAATCTGTTTAAAAAAAAAAAAAAAAAAAAAAAAAAAAAAAACTATATTATAAAAGATTCAATTTCTATTTTGTTACCATAACATAGAAAAAAGACTACAAGAGTATAATGTTCCCAGTAAATTGTAATTAAAATTCTCAAATATATACTTAGAAATAACTCCAAGCTTATTGTTAATCAGAAGTTAATTTTCCTGAGTTATAAGAAAAAAAGAATAAGCAAGGGAAAAATCCCTGACTTGTCTGCATTCTCCTCTATCAGCCATATTGGCATGCAAGTGACAATACTTTATTAATAATTAAGCTTAAAAAGTTAAGATTTTTAAATAATTACAATATAAATTGTAGAAATAGAAAGTCAACATTGAACAGCCTCTGAAAAAGATACAATTTAATTAAATATATAAATATTGGAGTTACAATATTCCAGTTATAATAGTGTAAACCCATTTTTATTTATTATATATGTATTACGTATTATACATTTCAGTGTATTTGAGAAATCTTAAAGAAATTACCTTCTCTGGCAAAAAATTGAATCTGCATCTTAATGTGAAGACCAATAGACATTGCTTAATAAATAAAAATGGGGCATCTATTTCAAATACAATCTGTCCACTATAATAATATTTGAAATAAAAATTTTTGATAAAAATAAATTCATTAACTCTTTTAGAAGATTAACAGATTAAGTTAAATATTAAGTGTAATTAAATGCAATAGATTTGAAAAAAGAAAAAATCTGAAAAGTTATTGGAAAGCAAAAAGTGAGTACATTTTTGGGGTACTGTGTGTGTGTGTGTGTGTGTGTGTGTGTTTAAATAAGTGTCAATATTTACAAACTTTTTGAAAAGCTAAAACTGAAACTGGTTAAAGTAAAACAATTTTTTTCTGAAAACCCACATGTAAGTAAAACAATTTTAATAATTCTCTGTAAACATACATCTCTATCTATAAAAGGCAGGATGTGTGTTTGTGTGTGTGTGTGTGTGTAACGAATGCAAAGCCGCAATTTTTGACGGATTTACACCCAAATTTACATGTACATGCTCCAAGTTAGCGGGAAGGCCAAGACTGACTTTGCATTTCCCAACTCCCATCGATAGTGGAAATAATCAATTTTTTCATGCTTCTACGGCAGTTTTCATGTAGTTTGCGGCCATTTTCTACTGGCCAGAGTGAGAGCCTATAGCTGGCTGCCACGAATAGGCAGGAAGATTCTATTGGCCAGCGTGAGAGCCAACAGCTGACTGACACAAATGTTAACTAGCATGCTAGTATGCAAAAAAAAAAAATCGATAGCTGCATTCGTCACAAGTGGGGGAAAAATTAAATCTACATGGCACTTTACTCCAATTGGCTCATTTGCTTGCTTAAACTCAACATTGATTCTGCAGAACTGGGTTGGGTGTGAAAAAGTATTTGTTGTTAACATTCTTTTTTCATTCAGTTTTTCCAGTTACAAGTCCTTTTTTAAAGCTGATTGTTTTGTGTTCATTTTGTTTAGTTCTTTTTTTGTAACAGATTTAATGTTTAGTATAGAGCTTAGAAAAAATTTGCAGTGTGAGATAGGCAAGAATTAAGGCATGGCAAAGGGCAAAAATATTTTAAGTGATAACAATTGCTGTATGAGTCGTACGATTTTTCAATCAAGCACTGGCAATGCCAGGCCATGCTGCTAGTGTATTATAAATATTACATATAAATATATAAAAATATTGGGTGTTTTTGCAAATTTTATTATTTTCTCTATTCAGCAAGTTTTTGTACAGACTTTTCTAAAAATTTCATTTGTGTGTGTGTATGTATATATATATATATATATATATATATATATATATATATATATATATATATACACACACACACACACACACACACACGCTGTTTCGTTTCATTAAAGACAACAGACAAAGTACTGTGATTAGGCTTTTATTTAATTTTTGTTGGGTTTCAAGTGATTTTCTTTTCTGGACACAAAATGTGTAGAAAGTATCCAAATGTTCTGTAATTCCAAGCACTTTTGGCTATAATTTTAGCCATTATCAAGGATGGCTTTATTTTTCCTTTTTAACTAGATGTATAGGTTGTGTGTATGTATCTAGAGTTATAGGGATGTTTTATTTTCCAAATATAGTTAACAAATTGCAGCTGTGTTTGTAGTTAATATTATTGAGTTTTGACTTTTTCTTATTTATTATTAAAGCTTCCATTATTTTAAATTTTTTTTTTTTTTTTTTTTTTTACATGTGGATGAGGTTATTATGCTTGTATTTTCTACAAGTATGTTTCAGATGTAGTCTCATAAGTTTGTGTGAGATCAAATTTAGGTTGGAGATGACAATTTGTGATCAAACCAAACTCATAAATAATTACATCAGTCACACTACTACATGCCTATTGAAATGACTTACAATACACCTAATTGACCACAGTTCCATCAGAACCTATTTTTTTCCTATTTTCTCATTCATTTACTCACTGCTTGTCTTATAGACTTAACCCCATAGAAAATATCATTTTTGTTTTAGATATTAATTGAATTTAAATTAATAAATTTTATGCTATAAATATTGATCAGAAATACCTCCCCATTGAGCAGTGGTTTGGAAACTTATCCAGAAGACCAATAGAACTGCTTAGATTTTAACCCTTACTAGGTGACCTTTTTGCTAAACACAGATAAAATCGTTGGAAATACCAATTAAAAAAATAGTTTAAAAAAAAAAAAAATAATTAAATAAAATAATTGAAAAGGTATTTTTTTTTTCTTATTTTTTTTTTAGTTGCTTCATATTTTCTTGTTTGTTTTGGGTTTTTTTTGTTTTGCCTATGTTTTTTTGCTTTCTTTATATTCTATTTTTTGATTAACTATTTGTTTTTTCATTTTATTGATTTTGCTTTTTGTAGTTTTTTTGTGTTTTGCTTGATATTTTCATTTTCTCTTTTTTGTTTTTTTACATTTTCTGTTTGTTTTGGGGTTATTTTTGCTTTCTTTTGTTTAAAGCATGCTGAGGTTTCTAACATGATGATCTATGCCAATGATATGACAATTTTTAAGCTTTAAAGAAGCAGCCATTTTTAACAGATAGATTCCAAGGAACATTTTCAATGTATAAAAAAAAAAAAAAAAAAAAACATGATTTTTTTTAACTTTACTTTTAATATTTAATTTTCAAAGTTGAAAAAACTATGAATTCATGTTTTTTTTTTTTTTATCTATAGGTAAAATAAGAGTAGACTGAGCTTTGTAGCCTTGAATGACAACCAATCTTGTTGAGGGAGAGCTGTTTATTTATTTTTTTTTTATATATTACAGAGGAAATGTTTGGATGCAAAAAAAAAAAAAAAAAGTACTTACTGTTTTTTTATTTAACTCTCGCAGAGTTCTAATGGCTGAAACAGCACACCAGTCAAACTCCACACTACTTCCAATATGATAAGGTCCACAGCCAAGAATCATGGTGCCAGGTTCTTTGAATTCAAGATCATGCTCCTAATGAAAATCAAAATGAAAAATTAATTTACTTACTTATCTCAAATCTTGAACACATCAATGTACCAAATTTCTTTCCTTAAAAAAAAAAAAAAAAAAAAAAAAAATATATATATATGTACATAAACACATATGATTTTATATATATATATATATATATATATATATATATTATATATATATATATATATATGAGGTAATTTTGGATTTTGTTGTGTAATACTATTGATATGCTCTGTTATAATAAATACATTGAGCTCTTTTTGTGGATCAGTTTTAATATTTTATATTACCAGGATCTACTTGGATTATATACCAACAGATTTATTACCTGTACTATATATATATATATATATATATATATATATATATATATATATATATATGTGTGTGTGTGTGTGTAATTGTGTATTTGAGTAGCAATCCTCCTTTTATACAATTCTCATTAAGGACAACTGACAATTCATTGTGTTTAAGCTTTTATTTAATTTTTCTTATGTCCTTATAAGTTTTTCTCTTTTCTAAACAAAAAAGTGTGTAAAAATTGTCGGAATATTTTGCATGTCTGAGTGCTTTTGGCTATTCTTTTAACCATTATCAAGGAGTTTTTTTTTTAATTCTAACTGAATGTATAGATTTTTTTTATGCATGTAGGTACCTCCAATAGATTTTTTTTTTAAAGAGCATACTATGATGAAAAAAGGCCCCAAACTTGATAAAAATTAAGTTTTTTCATCAAAATGTTTATGCCATTATTAAGAGGAAAGACAAAGTATTTTTGATTATTTTAATAAACTTTTTAATCCTTTCTATCATGTTTAAAATTTTGGTTAAAAATCTTGTCTTTCTTGTGTCAACAGGTGGACCAAAGATTAGCATAGGGATTTTTAGCATCTTTTTTGGCATTAAAATTTCTGAGACATAATGAGGAAGAAGGGCTTAGAGAATTTGCCTCTCACTGGACATATTTAAGACAAGGAAGACAGGGGGAAAGAGTAACGTGTCTAACAAACTCATGTAAATGAATGGGAGAACAAAAACTGGGAGGGAGAATAAGGAAATAAAAAGTACTTGGAGCTATAGAGGATAGGAAATTGTAGAGCACCATGACTGTACATATCTTGAATGAGCAGAGCACACAAAAGCAGACTAAAGTCTATATAACTTACCATTCCATTGTAAGAGCAGTACAAATAGTTTGTCTTAGCAGGATATTCAGCTGCCATTGTGTCGATCTGAAAGAAAAGAAATTAATATTAGGAGTGTGTTACATGTACAGTCTCTAACAAAACATAACAGGAGCTTTAAAAAAAAAAAAAAAAAAAAAAAATTTTTTTTTTTTTTTAAACCATGTCAGCAATAATTAATTATTGAATTTTTTGACAGTCATTTTATACAGGTTATTGGAAGCCAGAAAATATTTTTAGATTATAGAAATTTTTTGGTGGGGAAATAATTATTATTTAGTGACACAAATCTTACTAATTAACCCATACCTTTCCCAAGGGTATTCCCACATAAGTAAATATAAAGAACCCAACATGAATTGGAACTCAGCTCTCTAATTAACAATTTTCAAACCATTATCCATTACACCACCTGCACATCCAAGCATACAGTACATAGTATGTTGTTTAACTTTGGTGATTATACAGGAATTGGTGTTTTAACATAATATGGCTGTAAGCCTTCTCTCTTGATGATCCTGAGAAATTTCTGGTATCTGGCACATTGGGTATATTTGACTGTCAGCACCAGATATTCACACTAGGCCATAGGAGGGCTGAAGCCACACTAGGCCACAGGAGAGTGGAAACCACACCATATCATGGGAGAACTAAAACCATACCAGGTCATGGTTGAGCTACTTCAGATTCAATAGCAAGTAGATTTTTATAAGGTTGATTTGCTAGCTGAATTGCCCAACAAACCTTCTCCTAAACCTAGTTATGGGACTTGGTTTGAATTCAAAAGTGTCTCTTTCCAAGGCTAGATATTCAAATCCATCCTGCTTTTTTACCCATCATTTCTATTAGCCTACCTCTTTTTAGCAAAATACTACCGGCCCTAATCAACTCTGAACTGGGTCATCACCTCACATCACAGGACTTTCTTTTGGATAAGCAATATGGCTTTAGCTTCTCTAGGTCAACTGCTGATATATTAATGATTATTTCTGAAAAAGTCAAACTTTAGCTAAGAATGGTGAAGCTCAGATTGCTGCTGTGGACATTTTGGATGAATTTTTGATCTGATTCAGTCTTTCTTATCAAATTGTGAAATAAAAGTTGTTCTGAATGGCCACTCTCCCAGATCTTTTTTCATTAATGCAGATGACTCCCAAGGCTCTTTCCTTGGACCTAGATTGTTTACAATTTTCATCAATGACCTTGATGACATCACTTCTCAACTTGGTACCTATGCTGATGACGCAACTATTTACTCCTGTCTTAATAGTAAGCCTGATCATTTCAATAAAGTCAAATTGGCAGCTAATCTAAATAGAGACCTAAAATCTGCTGCTAACTGGGGCAAGGAATGGCTTGTTAATTTTAATGCCTCCAAAGCAAAACTGCTATCTAATAATCATCTGAGAGAACCCTTTCTGTTTTTCATCAGTATGGCCGATGCTAACCTATAGGAGAGTGACTCTTTGCACCTTCTCAGACTAATGCACTCTGAATGAAGTGAAAAGATTATATTGAATCAATTGCTAGTTCTGCTGCTAGGAAAGTTGGTTCACTTTGTCCTGCTAGACAATTTTTTTGCCCAAAATCTATCTTACATATTTATGAGTCTACCATTCATCCATACTTTGAATATTGCTCCCACATATGGTTCAGTGCTCCTACTATATATTTAGAGATTCTTGCAAAAATCAAAAGAAGAATCTGCATTATTATTGGTCCTAACATGGCATCCCAATTTCAGTCACTTTCCTAACACAGTAATGTCACTTCCCTATACCTTTTCTATAAATATTTTCATGGTAATGGTTCTGATGAACTTTCCTTTTGCTAAGTTTAAGATAAGGCAGATTGAAAACTAGCCTTGCCCTATCCTTCACTTTTGACCTTATGCCACATTTTTGTATTTTTCAAAATAAATATTACTTTCTTCTATGGTTCCTAAACTTTATGAGTTTAAGTGTAGTACTAGATTGGCAGTTAGGTCTCACCATTTTACAGTTGAAATGACTAGATGTAATCATAAGTTCTATGCTAACAATTTCTTTTCTCACACTTCTAACTTCTGAAACTTTCTTCTGGCTCCATGCTTTCCAACCAATTTTGATCCTCAAAAATTTAAATGCAATGTCAATTGTTTTTTACTGTCTTGCTGATTACTCTTTTATTGTTCTCACTCTCTAATGTTTCTCTTTTTGCTTATTCTTTAACACTCAGCAACCTCTTGTGCCTTAGTGGCTTTATTGCCTTGCTTGAGTTGAAAAAAAAAATATATAAAATAAAGTCAGCTCAACAAAATAGAAGCCAAGAAAATAAATCACCTGTTTCACCCAGGGTCTGATTCCTTTGCTCAGGCGAAGTTTACGGGCCTGATCTTCATTAATACCCAGTATTTTGCCGACTTGTTTGTCAGAGAACCCAGCTTGCTTAGCCAACCTGAACATCTCATCATCAATAGTTTCCCTAAGAATAAAAGAATTAAATAAGGAAAGAAACAGATGAAAAAAAACTTAGGGGGTCCTTTTAGCAAAGAAAAATTGTCCTATAGATATAAATTAAACAAATAAAGTTATATTTAAAAAAAAAAAAAAAAAAAAAATATTACCTGCTATTACATGAGATACTTTCATTAAAAATGTAGCATCGAACAAGATCGTTTTCTTTATAACAAAAAATAGCATTAAGAGAATCAAGTGTGAAAGATCATTTTTTTTTTTTTTTTTAATTAAACAAAAATGAAAATGATAAGAGTAACAGGCAAAAAATTATGAACTTGCAGACTTATGTAATTTTTACACTATTTATATTGTTCCAACTGTTGTCTTCATCTTTATTGTCATATTCACAATGTTTCAGCTGCTGTATGCCTCAGTCTTCTTCAAGTAATATAAATTTGAATTTTGAGCTGAACCCCTTATTTAGTCCACAGGGGTAGATTGTTCTAGTTCAAAATTCCAACGTATTTCACCTGAAGAAGGCCCGAGCATACACTGGCCGAAACATTGCAAATAAAGATGAGGACAACAGTCCCAACAATGTAAATAGTTATGATATATCAAAAATTGATGACTCCTGTTCTTTTTCTAGTTTTGAATTCCAATTATTTCTATACCAAAAGTTTTTCCAAATGAATATATAGTTTAATTAAAATTTCTTGATTATCTAGAAAAAAACAGACATTTTTTTTTAATAGGGGTTCACTCACAGCATTGTATATAATATTCTTTATATATACAAAAGAATTACTTAACTGTAATTGTCTTTTATATATAGGTTATTATATGGATCAGATACAACAAATATAGCTTTGAGATAAGGAAATTAAACATAGAATAATTTAAGCTAAATGGAATGTCACCCAGTAGAATTGCTTCAAATCCAAAATTAACTTGAAAACACTAGTCCTATTCTTAAATAGCTTTGTCATATCAAGACACTCCTACTGATGTCATACATGGCACCAAACCTGTTCAGAACTGTCAGCAGCATTATTCTCAGATCTATGATTAATAATGGCCTTGAGCTTGTGAAATCTCTGGGTTTTGCCGAAGACCATCGTTCTTTGAACCTTGTAGACTGGTGCTAGAGAGTCACAAACAAAGGAAGTGTACCAAATAACAGAAACAACATCACTTGAGGACTTTCAACAACAACAACAACAGCAACAACTAAAATCAATATCACATGTAACTCAAAGAGAAATTAACAATCATGATGTTGACATTTCACGCTACTTCAAATAAAAGGTTAGGCAGGAAACTCATTAATACTGGACAGAGTGATAAAAACTACTGGACTTGAGAAACATTTTTGTGAAAAAATGTTTTAAGATTTTATAAATTTCAATTGACAGTGGTACTAGCTATTCAGTCAATTAATGCTGAATGTTTCTTTATGATACACTGTAGATGACTTTTGCTTTGTTTGTTTTTTTTTTTTCTTATTTTAAAAAGTGGGGATTACATCTACCAACCTTGTGTATTCAAAAGACTTAGTAAAAAAAAAAAAAAAAAAAAATATGCTCTCAGGCAGGGTTTGAACCTGTATCTCCACTTTGTATGGGAAATCATTGTCTGATCCAGCCAACTTTAGACCACTCAGCCACAGAGACCTAATGCATGCTTGATCTGATGGTGGATTCTGATACAAAGGGGTACACATATTTGAACCCCACCAGAGAGCACTTTTCTCTTTATTAAATCTCTCGAATGTACAGATTGGTAGACATGATTCACACTGGTTAAGATAAATAACAAGAAGGACAGGACATCTACTCATACATGTGTATCCACAAAATTAATTCATTGAGCAATAAAAAACAAAAGCTGAAAGTTTTACTACTTACGGAGTTGTAAAAGACATGTCTTTTTCAAGATTGACAATTCGGAGCAGCTTGTGGAGAAACCATCGATCAATTTGAGTCAGTTTGTGGATTTCATCAACACTGTAGCCAGCATGGAAAGCCTGCATTTCAAGAAATTAGAAGTAATACCAAAAGAACATACCCATTTGATTGGTTGATTTTTTTTTTTTTTTTTTATGGATTATCAACCCTTTGCAAATTACTTAAAACCAGAAAATATTGAATTGTAATTCGTGGTAACTGTATATTTTCTGGACATAATGATGATTGCAAGTCTTATTATTTAACCCATAGCTGGGGAAGGAGAGGTGAATTCACACATTTCCCAAGAGTATTTACATGTAAATGAATATAGCAAAACCTAATTGAAATTGAAACTCGGATCTCCAATTTCCAATTCCAAGCTGTTATCCATTACATCTAATTCTATGAACCATGTTCTTTCAGGACATGAACGATTATGGCTCTCCACAACTTCCTATCCTTTATAACTCTTAGTAATGTTTGTGTTTTAGCCATCTCTTCCACTCCTTATTCCATACATCCATTCACATATTGTCAATTTCTCCAACCCCTCCTTCCTCATAATGTGTCTTTGAAATTTCAACTGTCACTTTTTAATCCTAAATATAAGTGGCCTTTTCGTTTCCATTTTCCTTTAAATTCACTTGCTTATGCTATTCTCAAAACATCCTGCAGCAGAACAACTTCTCTTTTGCCTCATGTCTGATGTGTATTGTCTAAGTCAGGTGCATTAATTAAGGGAGTGGTAATTTTAGCACTTCATATTTTTTGAATATGAAGTGTTGATGTTATCTCTTTTCTCTAATTAATTAAAGGGAAGTAACAGCACATGTTGTTTTGGAGGTTATCTCCCCTTGTAAATAGATAGCGTTGAGAGCTTCTCACATGTGAATCGATAGCTTACCAAGCTATCAATGTATGTTGATGACACACTTACATAAAACAGATAAACCATTGCAATTTAGAGAGATACATTTGATTGTCACCGTCTAATAATTATATTTCATCATAAATCTTATAGTGTAACAGACGTTAAACCTTTTCACTGGACATGCATGCATTGAAAATCCTGTCAGAGGTAACAACCCATTTTTCAGCTTTTGGGTATGCATAAAAAAAATTTAAAATATATATATATTTTATTTTTTAAGCGTTTCACCCCCAAGCAAGGCGGGAAGCACACAAGGGGTTACAGAGAGTTGGAGCGAGAGCAAATAGGAGTGTCAGAGGAAAGGATGAAGAGAAGGATAGGGGATAGATAAAGGCATCTGGAGATGTCGATTGACATTACATTTGAATAGTTGGAGATTATAGCTATCAGGGAAACAGGAAAAAGGGAGGGATTTCCACAGGCGGGAGGTGCGAGACATGAAACTATTGGAGAAGAAGAGACAGCTACATTTAACAGTTTTGACAGTGAAAGGGTGAGAGCAAGATGACAGCCTAGTAAAACGCTTAAATTCATGAAGTCTGGGAACCAGCGAAAGCAGCTCCTTGGAGCAGTTACCATGAAAGTATTTGTCAAAAAGACAGAGGGAGGCGACAGCACGTCTGTGAGAGAACGATTGCAGCTGAGATGCCAGATCAGGGCCAATTACATGTGAATCCTAAATGGCTACTCCTTTCTGCTGAAGTTGAGGTAGGATGCTAAAATTACCACTCCCTTAATTAATGCACCTGACTTAGACAATACACATCAGTCAGTTTAACTCACAAACGGAGTAAGTTCAACATTTTCATTTTTTTTTTTTTTTTAACAGAGAACCTCTTGAATTGGCATTTTCTTTCAGAAACTATTCTTGAAATTTTCTGTACACAAAAAATTTAAGATAAAATAAAAATTTCTATCTCTTGTTTCATTTTCATGTTTGTCTATTTCCCCAATCAATTCAACATTTAGCGTTTGTTCATCAACATACACCTTCTCAACTTCAGTCAACAACCCTAAAGCTAATAACAATAGAATTTTAAAATCTTAATAGATAGGTAGATATAACTCTGGTATAAACTAGAGTGGTCTGAAAGTCTTGTCACCCCTACATAATATAATTTTCTATTTCAGAGCACTGACACAACCTCCTACATGAAAATAATGGCGTTCATGCGCACCTTCTCCATGTGTGACTGTCAATGAAAGTGAATAAACTGAATCCAGTCCATGTGCTTTTTATTACTGGTTCTTCTATTGTTCTCATTACATTTTGGTAGGGGTGACAAGACTTTCAGGTCACCCTGTAGAATAATAAAAAAGATAGGCAAAACCATGACCAACATCTACAAGTATCCACTCTAGAGTGAAGGTAAGGGTCTTATCCCACTGCAAAGGATGCAGTCAGAATATTATCAGCCTCATCAACAAAGTAATCTCTTTAATTTTTTATTACTTTCATAGCATAAAAGAAAGTAACATTAATTAAAATAAAATTATTCAATAGAAATTCAACAGATTTTAGTTAATTCTTAACTAATGTATACCTTTGAAATGGAATGAATTCTGGTGTTGTTTGGTACTCGCAAACTGGCTTCAAGGTTAAAATCTGGAGGATACTGCTTCCCTGCAGGAAGTGTGGGAGTGAATCCCTCAATAGAAGGGTGGGTCATCCTCAGAGCTTTTTGAAGACTTTCTTCAAATGTTCGACCAATGGACATCACCTACAAATAAGAGTGGGGAAAAAAAAAACAAGTATTAAAAGCATTAAAAAGTATAACAGTCTATAAAATATATTATATTTATGGGTCACACTGCCTGATTCTTAGGAATGAGTTATTTCATGGTTATGATAATGGAACAAACATGCCTCATGTTGTCATAATAACAAAGAACAGACACCCAAGAGGATATTTTCCCAAACACTACAACCTTAGCTTCTTCAAGTCTCGGGTCAACCAATGCCTGTTGTATGTATCCTCATAATCTGCACTTACATCCTCCATCTACATAGCAACCTCATTAGTAACACTACCTTGACTGGCTCTTGATGCTGGTGATCATTTAGTTATATATATATATATATATATATATATATATACATATACATACACACACAAATAGTAAAAATAAAAGCTTAAAATATAAAAAAAACTGAGGACTCAAATGGTTTGAAAAACTGATAATCCTATAACAAATAGGTGTCTAGCTATTGAATAAGCAAAGCGAGCTTATGACTGCATGCCAACATAAGAACAAATATTTAATCAAAAATACATATCTTTAGGGTAGGAGTTACCTGCCACACCTGGAGTATACAAATTAAACAATAGCTTGGTTCCATATTGTTTCCACCTGATGACTGTGAAAGAACAAATAGCAGATCTTGTGTGTGTGTGAGTAATGAGACCAAGTTTTTTTACTATTTGTAGGAATACAAGAGGCAATTATCACCCTTTGGTCGAGATAAGTCACATGGGTCAGGTGACACCCATAATAACATCACTTCATACAGTGACAAAAGTAGCCAGTTAATTTGTTTATAGCAGCCAAACTAAGCTGTTGCTTTTTTAGCCTGAGCCAAGGAGACCAGGCTGAGACTATATCTGCCTCCTCTAGCAAATGCTACAGGTTACAAGTCCATGGTGTTGTTTCATTTTGAGAATATATCTTCCCCAGATATAGAAAAAGAAAACTCCAACTTGCAGTCCCAATTTGGGAAAACCCAAAACTCACCATTTCACCTTTGTGGAATATGTTTTCACCTGGAATATAGTAGATGAATCTGGCATGCTTGAATCTGGGGTCCTAAACATGGTTTCTCCAGAAACACAGATGAATCTCCATATTATATGCAAGACCTTTCCTTTCTCCTGACAATCTGCTTACTGTTTGGAAATGTTATATTTTTCTCTGACTGGGATACATGTGTAAATATGTATATATAGTTTTGTGTATGTCTTTGTGGTATAAAAGTCTCTCTGAGAATAAAGCATGCTTGTCATTCCTTTTCCTTTCAGTCATCCTGTTCCATCTGTGAAATATGCTGTTATTATATCATAGATATAATAATGAGGGAAATACAAACGAGAGAAATACATTTTTTGTCCATATCTCTCCTGTTATATATTGCTTTCTTTTCAAGCTAGCATTCTTTAGGTATTCTTACTTTATGAAAAGTAGAATTCATTCTTACATTTGACAATAGTTTTGCATATAGATACAAATCCTCAATTACTCTTACAGAATATAAAAACCAATGTAATTATAAAATTACTTAATTACCATCATTTTCTTTTGATCGTACAACAAATACTACTTTTTTTTAGATATGTTTACTTTTAATGATTTAAAAACTGGAATTATTTCTTATACTCAATAATAGAGTTAATTAGATAGAAATCCTTTAATTTTAATCATTTTCATTTATTTTTTTTTTATTTTATTTTTTTTTTTTACAGTTCTTCATTCCTTAGCTGCACAATTGGCTAGGCATGTGTCTTTTTGATTCATAATGGACTTGGCAGAAAACCTGCAGTAGGCTGACATTATTTTTTGTGGTAAACTGGTTGCCAGCCAAGGCACTAGGACCTATTCTGTCCTGCTATTTAACCTATAGCTGGTGAGGATAAGAGATAAAATTATACATTTCCCAAGGATCTTTGTGGCTAAGCGATTGTAACTGGAATTCAAACTCAGCTCTCTGATTAACAATTCTGAGCCAATATCCATCACACCACTCTCACATCCAAGCTTACACCATCTGGTATTTCTATATGATCACTCATCTAGGTACTGACCAGAGTCAATGTTGCTTAACTTTGGGAATTGGACAAGAACAGGTATTTCAACATATGGCTGTAAACATTTTTTTAACAGTACATTTCAATTGATATCTTAAGATGTTTCTTCGATGTAACAGATTAATAGCATAACAGTTCTTCCTTAATAATCCTTACATCAATTTTCCAGACCTTAATTATCTGGACAGACAACAAAGAGAAAAATTGAAATCATCAAAAGATTTTTTCAATAATCCACACTAAACCAATTCTACACCTTTGTGCAAATTAATTGAAACAACCACTTTTCTTTCTTTCACCATATGGTCAGTTTTAGATCCACTGAAGTGACAGGGTGTAATTGATTTCTATTTTTTCTCAGATTAGGTCATTTGCAGTGGTGTGCAGTAATATGAATCTATTTTCAGGGTGCATAATGAAATTTGTTTGACATTGAAAAATATGTCATCTGTGATTGCATCATATTTCTATCATGCCCAGTCATTATTGTCTCAACTGTTGATTAGTTGTCCTACAGCCATTGTCGGTGATGGACATTACTCCAAAGAAGTGTATGAAAATTGTAACACACGAACATACTGACAAATCTAACCAGTGAGCAAATCAAAGTACTATAGATTGGCCCAAAAATTGATTTAAATCCAACCAAGAATCTGATCAGTCTCTTTAAGGTATGACTTCGTGGAATGAACATACAAAGTACTAACACATGCATTGGGTAATGGTTCATTGGAAAGATACAAAAAGAATTAAATAATGATGGAATTATTCATTTTGTTTCAATTAACTTGCACAAGGGCGTAATATATCCAGATTTTTTTTAACAATTTGAAGTGTTAAACGTCGACATAAATGAAAAGCAAAAATATATGACTGATTCAATGCAAACAGTCCAGAGTTATGAATACTGAAGTGACAAGGATATTATTGAACTTATAGGTGAGCTGGAAATTGCTGAAGAGGAGGATAATGATAATGTGTTTGCTCGTATTGAAGTTCAACAGCCACCCACAAGCCCAATTTCAACCACCAAATAATGATTATGCTTCTGAAATGTTTAAGTCAGTTGAACTTTCAATCAGAAATTACACTTACAAATAAATCTGCTTTAATCCAGCTTCAGGAGTTTGTTTTTTTTATATTAATGTTCCCCCAATACAAGCCTCAACAGCTACTCAAGGTAGGTGGTTACTCGAAGTCACAAGAATGTAATTTCTGAAGTTATGTAGGAAAGGTAACAGTTGATCCTGGACTTGAAGAGATAAAGATTGTAGTGATCAAGAAAAATAAAATAATGATAATGACTAAAGATAAAATAGATTAGTTAGATGAATAAGTTAAAAATGGGAGATGTACAAAAAAAACCATAAAAAAACAACTATTTTCTGACTATACATATTTACAAACCAAATACGGCATTTATAATTAGTTATAAGCTGTGACATATCTTTATACTCTTTACGAAGGTGCAGGTCTTGAAAAGAAACTGAATGACAGAAAAAGGTGAGGCCAACTGGAAACAAACAAAAATTAATGCATTTTTTCATAAAAAATAAAATGGACAAAAGCTTTGAACAAAGCGTTTAAAAATATTTAATTATATATATGCTAAATTGCTTGCAGAAAATTACTTTTTTTTTTTTTTTTTCAATCTTTTTTGATAATTTAGGTATTCAATAATCATATTTTTTCAACCCCTATCCCAAGCTGGCACAGAGGTGTAATGGATAGTGGCTCAGATTCGGGAATCAGGGAGCCAAGTTCAAATTCCATTATAATCCATTACATTCACTTACATGCTAATACCCCTGGGAAAGATATTAATCCTCTTCTCCCTCCAGCTATGGTCAAATAGCAGGACAGACTGGGTTCTATAGCCTTGGATGGCAACTAGTCTACCACAGAAAAAAATGGCAACCTATTGCAGAAAAAATCTGCCTCGTCAGTCATGTATCAAAAGATAAATGATCGCCTAAGCATGTATCATGCATGGCACATAACTGACTGATCCCAAGCTGTCCAAACCTTCAAGGTGAAGTATGGAGATTCTGGTGAAACCTGTCACTCTGTATATCACCTGCACCACTTAGATCCTTGTAAGATGTTGAGATGAGAATGCAAGAAATGCATTTTTGAGAGACATTTGGCCTTCCATTATTTGGTGTGGTGTTGGCATGTTTTTGTATTGAATTATCAGAGTTTTCATTTCTATAAGATCAAAGAAAGTTCTTTACAATTAACAAAAATGAATCCTATGCTGTTATATTGAGTAAATTGTACTTCTTTTAAGTGCCAAGTCTTAAAATGTGGATGTGGGCAGCCAAGGTTCACCATTAGTACCTGTTCTTTGTTGCTCTAAGTACATTTTTAACCATTTACAGTTCCTCTTTGTCCTCCTTCTGTCATCCATTCAAACAATTATCCAGACATATTTTTTAACCCCTGTCCCAAGGTGTTTAGATAATTGTAGTGAACACATAAATGAACATACTCAAAAACGAACCCATGTCATATGTACCATTTTCCAGGGGAGGAGGAAAATCCATAAAAGCCAGCCAGAAAAAATACAAGAAATGTGTACCTGAATGAACAACATTCCACATGTTGGCATGTCCAAAAGAAAAATGACATGAATGGTTTGCATAAAATCTAGTCATCAGCATGAGTCTCAAAGGTTACGTAAATTTTGAACAAGATTCACATTGCACTATGCAAATTAGGTTCTATAAAATGGGTAACTTGATTGCAGTCGGTGAGTTGTACCTACAAGTCATTAAGTTGCATGGAGAAGGAGTTCTTGAGACGTGCAACTGCTAGATTGAATTTTACCCCCTGACATACGCACAAAATTCTGCTACAATAATCAAAGTAGTAATGCAATTACTTACTTCACCAACACTTTTCATAGCACTACCAATCTCTTTTGATGTATGTTGGAAACGGTCAAGATCCCATCTGGGAATTTTGGCCACGATATAATCAAGGCTGGGTTCAAAACAAGCCGTGGTCATTTGTGTTGTGTTGTTTTCTAAGCTTGGTAGAGGAACACCAAGAGCTAATTTAGCAGCAATAAATGCTAATGGATAACTGCAAAGAGAAAGTAAAAACAAAAAAATGAGAAAATATTGAATTTGTAACAGGAGGGGGGCACTATATGGAAGAAAGATTTATTCTTTTATTCACACTCCCCTCACATTATGGAATCTCTTTTCTGGACATAAAGTAAAAAATTGTCCAAATGTTCTCTATGTCCAAACACTTTTAGCAATTGTTATATATTTCTATAAATTTAGATAGATACATAAAAATCCATAAATTCAGTTAAGAATAAAAAATAAATACCATCCTTGATAATAACTAAAATAATAGTCGAAAGCACTCGAACATACAGAACATTATTGCCATTATCGAATATTTCATTCTGGTGCCACTGTGTTTTCCATCCCTCTTCATTGGCAGACACCCAACCAATAAGAAAAATCCTTTCAAACTGTGGTGAATATTCCTTCTCTCCCTGCCATTCTTATCATTAAAATGGACTGTGCCTGCTTATAAATAGTTGTTTGTACTAACTATTCCATTGTGCTGAATAAAACCTAATTTGGGTTACTCTGTCTTATTTTACTATTTTACACATACTATGTCACCAAATTCATGAACCAACACTTTAATCCACCAAGCTATTGTTCCATAGTTGGTTCACAAATTTGGTGAAAAACATTGTGATAATAACTATCAAAATGAGGACAACAGCCGAAAGGTAAATAGTGTTCTTTTTGTCTCCATTTTCCTTAAGCCTTCTTTGTTACATATGCACTTCATCTATGTTGTTATTCCCAGCATCCTTATGCAAAACCACAATTCTGTTGGCTGTGGTCTTCTTTTCATCTGGGAGAATGTCCTGGGTATGATGATAAATTACAAATGGCAGCAAGGCCTCTGATCAGGAAATTGGAGGTTTTTAAGAGCATGGAACTACCTCAATTGCTGTTCCCAGGTCCACTCCCAACTGGAGTGGTAGCACCTGTTGGGGTTCCAGCTGTTGGTAAATAGTGACCACACACACACACACACACACACACTAACAAAAACACTATGAAAGTATAAATATATATTTTAATAGTAAAAATACCAGCAATGCATTTTTATATAAAAAAAAAAGACCAACAATACATTTTAGCAGCGATAATACAATACATTTTACCAGCAATACATTTTATTCAGGGGCGGACTGAGCCATCGGTCCAATCGGACCTGGTCTGAGGGCCCAGCACTGCAAGGGGAGCCCGCCTGACTCGAGCCCCCTTGTGTGTGTTTCTCATGGCCGTGCGGACTGCCGGACACAAGTACGGGCAGATCCGTGACCGTGTAAAAATGAAAATTTGGAGAAGAAAAAGTATCTTCGTTAGCAATCAAACTAAATTTGTAAAGAAAGAAAGAAAAACAAAGAAAGTAAAAGAAAACAAAGAAACCTTACGAATGAACGCAGTAAAAAAAAATGTCTGTTTTTTGGGACTGGTAAGTTCAAACCTGGTTCCCAGCTAGACTGCAAGGCATAGCTTTATCGGATCCTTTTTGATTTGCCACACCCGCACCCCTTGCCTGGCCGAAAACACGCAATAAATTATTTTAATATTGTAAAAATATTCTGGTGACCATAAATCTGGTGCCTGTAGTTTATGGTACCGGTCAAGTCTTAGCGAACTCTCTCTCCCATCCCAGTCACTCCCAAAAGACACTAAAATTTTCATATATTTAGAATTTCCAAAGAAAGGACACCTTATAAATTCCTGTCTGTTGCCATTGCCAAGCATTTCAGTAAGTTAAAATATTGACTAATTATTTTGTTTACATCTGTAATTATGCTAATTTGTTACAAATATTGAGTAAATTTAAATTAGCATTATGTAATTTCTTAAGTCAAAGTTTTAAAATGTCAATAAGAGGGTTTAATGCGAATTCAAGCAAAATATTTAAAAAAATTTTTTTAATCAATATTGTTTTTAAATTGACAAAGGGGTTAATACTAACAGTCAATTTATGCCAGTGAGTGCATTTTAGATCTTACCACATTCTTCTAAATCATTGATATAATTTCAGTTGTTGTTTAATTCGATGAGCCACCATCTAAGATTTTAAGGCCTGATTCCATGACAACCAGTACGTAGGTTACACAGGCAAAAAGTGTGTATTTTTTAAAACCAGATACCAGCCATAATGCGTCAATTTCACAGGAGATGTTCTGGAAATTTCATCCAAACCAGCCTGTATGTAATATACCATTTAATAGTGCTGTTGCATATGACAGACAAGGCATTCAGGGCATGAATATTAACAGAAAGTGGGTAACATACAATGAAGAAAATAAGAGTTTACATTGCTCATTTTGTCTGATGTCTGCTCCCAAAAAAAGTCGAAATATACAGATGATCCAGGGCTGTTCTGATTGGAGACACATCGCAATGAGACTTTTGGAACATGAAAAGAGCCAGTGTCATAAGCATTCTACTGATGCATATTTTCTGAATGCTTGTGAAATATCTGCCAAGCACAATTTGTTAAAAGAACAACTCTCCTCAAGAACCCAACAAGTTCTTCAGCATCGCTCTGTTTTAAAGTGTATAATTGATGCAATATTTTACATTGGGTTTCAAGTTTTGTCTTACCGCGGCAAATATGGAGAAGCTGTTGCAACTGCATTTGATGAAAATAACCAGGACAATGCTGGGAATTTTTTAGAGGCTATAAAGCTTCTTGCAGAGTACAATCCACACCTGCAGGAACATTTGCAGAAGGTGGTTTTGCAAGGCAAACAAAAAGATCCATCTAAGAAAGGGCGTGGCAAATTTGTTACTTTTTTAAGTAAAACAACTGTCAATAAGATAATATTGTGAAGGAGGTGAAAAAATGCAGGGATGTTTTCAGTGCAAATTGACTCTACCCAAGACATTTCTGCCCATGATCAGTGTGCCATTGTCCTTAGATATGTAGTTGGAGACAGAGCTAAAGAAAGACTTGTTCACCTGGTAAATGTGAATAATTCAAGTGGAAAATGCTTGCACAGCCTGTTACAAAATTCACTTGCAGAGATAGGTCTGACACTGAAGCAGTGTATTGGAGATTCATTTGATGGAGCAGCAAATATGAGTGGTGCTTACTCTGGTCTTCAGGCACTTATGAAAGCAGCTCGCCCAAGTCACATCCATACTTAGTGTTATGCACATGTTCTGAATTTGGTGATCAGTGATGCAAGCAGTGGATGTGTTGCATCAGTTAGTCTTTTTGGTTTGCTAAATGAGCTATGCTCATTTTTCAATGATTCCTACAAAAGGATGAAGATATGGGAAGAGCATATGCAGACCAAAACAGGAAATAAGAAACGCCTAAGACTAGAGCGTATTGGTCAAACTAGATGGTCAAGTAAAAGCAGAGCACTTCGAAAATTGTTTGGCAATTACGCAGATCAGTCATCAGAATTTTTTTTCGGACCTTCTGATCATCTTTCAGGAAGTAAGCGAAACAACTGATTTCAAAGGATGAGTTCACTATGAAGCACAGAAATTGAGTGAAAACTTGCGCAAATTTGAAACCATCTTAATGGCGTTTTTACATTCATGAATTTTTGAAATTACAACACCTGTGTCAGATTATCTGCAGACACCAGGCCTGGATATCATGCAGGCTTGGCGCATGATTAACAAAGCCACTGAAAATATTGAAAAAATCTCAAGAGATTTTAAGGGCAATTTGCGTCTGATTTTGTTGTTCGTGCAAATTATAAATTAGAAGTGAAGATTTTTGTCCCTAATAGCTTTTCAATTTCAACCATGAGATCTAGTCGCTCAGCACCAGAAGGTATCACAGACGAGAAGAAAATCTTTGAGGTTCCTTACCATAATGCGGTTATTGATGCTGTGATCTCCAGCATGCGAGCTAGATTCTCGTCTCATGAGAAGCTCTATAAGCAAATTTCCTGCTTTGATCCAAACAGGTTTTCTGAAATTTTGGCATCCCCACAAAACATTGAGCTAAGTTTGATTGCTAATGCAATACCAGAAACTGACATAGTGGCACTAAAGGATGAACTGATTTCATTTGCATCAAGCTACAAAGACTTGAAAAAAAGGGCTGCTAGAAAATATAAATGACAATGAAAATGATTCAGACAGCTTGGATTCAGAGGAGGATACAAATGTTACTCAATCATCTGCCAAGACAACATGTAAGAATTGTTTGTCATGTGCTTTCAAGCTATTATCTGAGTACAGGCTGTGTGCAGCTGCATATGAAAATTTATATATACTGCATATAAATTTATTGTAAATCTAAGCATCACACAGTGCACATGTGAAAGATGTTTTTCTAAACTAAGACTGTTGAAAACAAGGCTGAGATCTTTGCTCACACAAAATAACTTGGAGTCACTTATGCTAATTGCTATTGAAAAAGACATAGCAATGAAAATCAAATCAAACAAAGACAAAATTATTGATAAAATTGCAGAATCCTCTACTGAAATGAGTACAATATTGTTACTGTAAATTTTTGGCTCAGTATTATTGTAAAGCATAGTATATCTTATATTTAAGACGTATTAAAATGTAAGTAATATTTTTAAAAGTGTATGTCAACACATTTTATTATTTGTTTTTAATATCTATTATAAATTTTATAATTTAGTACATTGTTTACGTGTTGATTCGCAGTAATAAAATGGAAATTTTGTTTGACATGTCATTACGCGGCTTTGTTGTTACTATCATTATGTGTCCATGAACATCTTTATGAGCTTCAAGTTTTCAAATCTTTTGATGCATAAACGCATACATATCTTAAATAATGATGGGACGTTTAATCGGAATCGTAAGAATCGTGTATTTTGGGGGGAATCGGAATCGCATCGTTAAAAAATAAAAATAAATACTTTAGATTTCCGATTCTTTCATTACGTTTCTCTTAAATTAGTCTGATGTTGAAAAAAGAAAACTTTTTTTCCATATTTCTAACCGGTAAGAGAGAAATGTAACATTTCATAAAAATAACAAGTTATAAAATGAAACCAAAGAAATACGTTATTAAAATGTATTTGATTTGCTCTTTTTTTAGGTCAAACTTATTATCTATAAATCCCACTTACTTAACTTAATCAGTGAAACAGACACAGTATATTTGGAGTGGGAGGGGGACTAACTGACTTTGATCTCCTTCCTACAAACAGTTTCTTAACTATTTTTTTTTTTAATAAATCTAGATAATGAATATTTTTCAGGATTTTTTTTATGAATGCAGACATTGAATTTTAAAATTCTTCTTTAGGTGTTAAAAGGAAAATAATTAGAAATATTTACGAAGAATAAAATTAAAAGAAATAACAAGGTCCTGCTTTAAATTAAAATATTTACAAAAATACAAAAGACAGTTTTTTTAAAGCATTAAAAAGAAAAGAAAAGAAAAAAAGATTAATTTAACATTGAAAACGATTGCATAAAAAAAAAAAAAAAAAAACTGGCTTCCGTTTCAAAACAATTCCGCGATTCCCGTGATCGCTGAAAATTGGGGTTCCCTACACATACAGGTAGAACCTAAGTAGGCAAGGTATCGGAATCGTGAATAAACATTTTCCTGGAATCGGTATCGGTATTGGAATCGAAAAAAAATTAGGAATCGTCCCAACACTAATCTTAAACTAAAGTTTTTTCTTATTTAAGCCAATATGCACAGATCACCTGCTGCACAGCCTCTGTGGCATTTAATTGTAAAAAATTGGGAAAGGGGGCCCATTGCATTTTCGCTCCGAGGGCCCGTAATACTCTCAGTCCGCCCCTGATTTTATTTATAGTTGAAAGCATACAATTGCATTATTTAGTTGAAGCCATAAAATTATGTTCAAGTTATATTTCAGCATTAAATAACCCATAGAGGTGTTGATATGCTACTAAACAAAATCAACCAACCAATCATCTGTGAGAAAATTGTCCAATATTCAACAGTACTGTAAAACTGTTACTAAATATTCAACACCTCAAGTAGTTTATTAACCAAAATCTACTATCTATATTTCTCATATTGTCTGTCTGTGTGTCTGTCGCGGGCATTGTTACCTCGCCCAGGCCGCATTTCTCACCCGATTTCTATGCGGTTTTCACCACAAGTTTGCAAAAGGCTGCCTTAAGGACATGACGCAGCCCGATTTTTCAGTTCGGACTCAGGTTCCGAAAAAATCGATAATCGAAAAAATCTGCTTACAGAAGGAATTATTGCATTTCAACCAAATTTGACACCCTCTTAGAGTCTACCTTTAGAAGTGTTGTCCAGAAGTTTCATGACCACAGACCCCTAAACAGCACGGAAAATCGATAAAACCCAAAAAGCCCGTCGCCCAGATTGCACCTGAACCGCATGTCGGTTTTTTAGCGAAAACCGATCAGATTTATGAGGAAGCCATTGGGAGTCACCATGTGAAGTTTCAACTCTGAGCCCCCCCCCCCCAACAGAGTGAAAATGGACAATCGGTCAACCCTTAAAAAATGTTTTTCCAGTTGGGTATTTCCTAAATGCAGATTAATTTAAGGTCACGCTATGCGCGGGAAGAAACAGGTTAGTGCATGCAGTGCTGTATGAGTCGTACGATTTTTGAATCAAGCATGGGCAACGCCGGGCCATGCTTCTAGTAATAAAATATTTGTATTTAGTTTGGAAAGTAAAAGAAATAAAATCTTACCCGGTGGCTTTGGAGGCAAGGGCAGAACTTCGGGACAGTCGAGCATTAATTTCAATGATGCAATATTCCAAAGATTTTGGATGCAGAGCATATTGGATGTTACATTCTCCTATTATTCCAAAGTGTCGAACAACCTGAAAATGCAAAAAGCAACCAAAAGAAATACTTAAATCTAAATTTTTTCTAGATTTTCATGCAAACATCTTTAGAGAAGCCATTTCTTATCTGCAGATTTTAATAAGTCATTTAATGTACAATCATATAGACAGATGGATGAGTAGTTAGAACATTTTCTTTCTGACCATGAGGCCCAGGTTCGATTTATCAGGAAGGTGGCTTCTTGATGTTATCAGTCTAGAGGAGGTGATCTCAGCATGCGGCACCTTTGGAAAGTGCCTGAAAACTGTACAAGTTGACCCAAGCCTTGTAAATAAAATTGGTTAGCTGTCAATGGTTGTACTAGTATGAAGTCACAAGTCATCGTGATTGAGGCTTTGAGTGTACTGACCTTGTAAGAACTATTAATCCTATTAGATAACATGCTCAATCCCAGAAACTGTAACTAAGGTCCATTCAGCATAGTTTCAGGTGGGCTCTACAAGTGTTGAACAAACACAAATGTGCCTGAGCAGGTGTCTGCACAGGGATTAGGTAACCACTCTAGTAGATTGAAATTCTCTGATTCAAGCGGCCAACCAGCTAGCCATATTCTTCAGTATAATACAAGCTTTTATGATCAGTTTTTACAAAAAACAATAGGGGTCACTATATACACGGGTAATTTTATTGACGAGGTTAAAAAAAAGTGAAGAGATTTAGGCTACATAGGAGGAGGGCCCAGGGTAAAGGAGCTACCATAATGAAACATGAAAAAAAAAAAAAGTGAGGGATTCATTTTTTCTACAGTTTATTGACCCATTGCAGGTTATTTAAAGCCAGAAAATATTTTCAGATTGAGAGAATTTCTGGGGGAGATAATAATGATTTAGGGATACAAGTCTTACATAGCTGGGGGAGGGAAGGAGAAAGGGATTCATACCTTTCCCAAGAGTATTTGCATGTAAATGAATGTAACAAACCTAACCAAAATTGGAACTCAGCTCTCTGATTAACAATTCCAAGCCGTTATCCATTACACCACCTGCGCATCCAAGTTTACATCATCATCAGCTCAAGCAAGCTTACAGCACCTAATATTCCCAAGCAGTTGCTCATCTCAGTGCAAACAAAAGTACTGTATCTAAATCATTGTATCAGATATTTTACAGTAAGTGGGTTTCCTCACCATTTCAGGGTAGCTTTGTACAAAAAAGAATGAAGACCATTTATTTGCTATAAAATGTGTCCAGAATGGTGTTCAGTACAGCAATATTTGACCACAATAGTATTGCTCTAGTATTGCTCAGAAGCTGGGGTTGCACATGCTATATGAAAAAAAATCAGGGTTTTCATAAAAATTCAGGTGTCGTGCTATACATAAAGTAAGGCTTAAACAGAAATATATAAAATATAGACCTTAATTTCTGGTTTATATTTATTTTGAGCTTAATTTTCAGAGTGAAAATCATCGATGATGGCAAAAGTGTTTATCAGTAGTCATCATTTCTTGTTGTAACTTACTCATTTCATTTTGAAATAATAAATATTACTTTTAAAAAAATAAATAACTATTCAACAATAACAACAACAACAACATCCTGTTTACACTATATTGTTCAGACTGTTGTCCACATCTTGCCACATTCATGTTTCAGCCGTTCTAAGCTCCAGCTTTCTTCAGGACATGTGTCCCCAAGGACACATGACTCAATGGATAAAAGTATTGGTTGATTGATCTAGTTTTCAGTTCAATCCCTGGTCACAACAGAGAGAACAAAAACTTGGATAGTTATCAAGAGAAATTAACTAAAACTGAAATATCCAAAGAATGGAATTAGAACAATTTACCCCCAAGTGTTCAGTTTGAAATTCCAAAAAATATTACCTGAAGAAGACCGGAGCATACAATGGCTGAAACATTGTAAATTTGGCAATAAAGATGAGGACAACAGTCCAAACAATGTACATAATGTAAATTGTTACAATATCTCATAAATACAAACAATATCCTAATTTACTCATATTTGTTTATTAGGCAATGCACTACATCCTTTAGCAGATTTCATAGTTTACCTCTCCTTACAAAGCTAGCTTTAAGAATATTTTAGAGCTAATTCAAATTTTAAATTTGAAAACTTGATATTTTTCATACACTTCTGTTTAAAAATGCAAATTCCAAAATAAAATTTCCACATTTACCCTGACAAAGTCCTTCAGGATATGAAACGTGTTGATAAAGAAAAGTTATCCTTTTGTTGTTTATTTATATTGTCTTTACTGATATAAATAAAATATATCTGAATTTTTACACACACACAAACACACACACACACACATATATATATATATTTATTATAAGAGGTTATAATAAAACTTTTAAAATCGCTACACAAAAGCTTTCATGTTTCAATACTATGATTGTATAGTATTGAAACATGAAAACTTTTGTGTAGCAGTTTCAAAATATTTTTATTATAATCTCTAATAATAAAAATATAATAATAATAATATATTGCTCTACTTTGTACTGAGCACTTTTTTAAAAGTAAATGCTATGAACATATACATATGGAAAATATATAAATGCTATGAACATATACATATGGAAAAGAAACTGAGCCGATATGAAAATTTTGATGAAGAATTTTGCTTAAGGCATGTTTCAAATTTTGCTTGATCGGCAAGGACAGTTTCCCCTCTGCCCAGAGAGAAGCAAGTTGGAATCCTGTCAGACAACATTTTTCTTTAATGAGATTTCTCAGATATTCAGGTTGATAGACGAAAATAATTAAATGTATAGTTTAATAAATAAATGGAGCACTTACAACCTACTCAAATATGAGTATCAACCAAAGTAACAGATATTATATATAAAGACATTTTTATGTTTAAAACATTCTTTTTATAGACACAAATATTTGAGTAATATGTTATGTTTATAATAATATTTGTATCTATAAAAAGAATGTATAAACATAAAAATGTCTTAAAATAATTGTCGGACTTTGTCCATTTCAAAATGTGACATATATATATATATATATATATATATATATATATATATATATATATAATAAAATGAAATGGATTAAGTCTGACAGTTATTTTTATATATATATATATATATATATATATTCTGTTTATATGTTATTTTTATAGATATAATTTATTTAAGTAAATACTCTGCTTTTAATCAAACAGTATTAATTACATTTACCAACCTGAATTGTTCTCTGGCAGGAACTGAACCTGTAACCTTTAAGGGAACCGTATAAATATAATAGATATAAAAATAATGTATAAACAGAAAATATCTTAAATAATTTTTGGACTTAATCCGTTTCATTATATGTTGTCATTGTTTACTTTAAGATAGGTTTTGGGAGCATAAATGATCAACCAAAAGAAATCGCCAAAGGTTTGTGTTTATAAACAGTAATTCGGACTTCTGTGGCTAAATGGTAACATGGGTCACAGGTTTGATTCCCATTGGAGAACACATATTTTCTACAAAATTTCTCAAACATTCTGGCTGCTAAATGTAATTAACACTGTTTAATTAAAAAAACAGAGTATTTACTTAAATTATATCTATAAAAATAACATAAACAGAATATATATATATAATATATATATATATAAATAAATAAATACACACACAGCGTAATAGAAAACACTGTTCTCAGTAGAAGTGCTTCATTTTCTTTCAGGACATGAACTATCATGTATCTCTAGAGCTTCCTACTCTTTAATATATGTCAACTGAATTGCCTTTTCCTGGACCACCTGCCAACCAAGGCAAGATAACCCCATCTAACCAGCTATTTAACCCACAGAGTGGAGAGAGAAGAGATAGATTCCTGTCTCCTCCCCAACCTACAGTTAACTCAAAGTGAGACTTGAACCTGGTTTGTTGAATCCACTTCCTGCACCATTACACTATCCACACAAAGTGTTGTAGAATGTAGGAATATTATCTTTATTATATATAAATAAAAATATAAAATAATAAAAATGAAAATTATAAATAAAATAATAACATAAAAACTTTGTTTAAAATATATTAAATAAAAAATAAAAATAGTCCCAGCATGCAACAAAAACTGTTCTTGCCAGAAATATGGACATCTTGCCAAAAGATGTTAAATTCAACCTCTTCAACATGATCCTTGATACAGGCAACACATGTTTAACTTCTCTCTGTAACATAGCTTGTAATAATAGGGAGTAAATTCTCCTTTTTATTACATGTTCCAGAAAACAATTGTACCCAAAGAAATATACACAAAAAATATACAACTTATTATGCTTTTACTGTTATTTCTGTATGTTTTAATTTGTGTCAAATATGCTTTTATCTCTGAACACACATTTAATTTCTGCTGCTATGATGTGAGTGAAACCCCACAACATTTTGGTGACCACCAACATGCATAATAAAAACAACCGATTCACCCATAAGAGTAGGATGTAGGTACTTCCTGCTCTTTCCTACTACTGTAACAATGGCCTGTTCTTATACATATGGCAAGTAGCCACATTAATATAGGATTTGAGTAGTACTTGATTTACTCAAGTTTTTCCATTCTATGTATGAGTATTTAATAAACCTCTTCTTTATTTTCCTAGCTAGTCTTCTATTCCTTTGATACCCTCTCTAAAGACTCCCTTCCTTATTTTCAGTTGTTTTGAATAAAGACAACTTTACAACACAAATTATTATACAATTAAAGTTAAAGCTTTCGAAAAAATTCAGTGAAGTCTTATCACTGCTTAAGTTCATGTCTTCAGATAATAAACATCAAATAATTGTTGTAACAAAGAATTAAAAATAAAATATGAAATATTCTGTTTGTAGTTGTAAAATTTAATGAAAAGAATACCTACCTTGATTGCTGTTTCCCTCAGCATATGATATTCTTGGTTCGATAATGTCTGGCTTGGGGCCACAACAATAGAATCCCCTAAAGAAACAATGAAAATAAGTTTTGACAAAGTTATCTCCCTTTATAAATTTTATCAGAACCTTGTAACTAAAACATTAAATATTTTCTTAATAAAATTATTAAGTGGAAAAATTGTATTGAACCTGTAGTGAGAACAAAATAATAACTCACTTCACCCACTCCCTTCAAATTCAAAGGACTCAGGAAGAAGGAGGAAAGAAATTTGTGAGCTCATGTGAAATTGCTTTTGGACCAATGAAAACTTTGCCTTCGTAGAAATTGGCCAGTGAGTCAAGAAAAGGATGGAAAGAAAGCAGTGAGCCTATGTGAAATTCTTTTTGTTATAAGAGAAGGATTAAAATTAAATTAAAAATGAGAGTGTCTGAAGTCTTGTGAAATGTTTCCTTTCAGTTCTTCACAGCCAGCATTGAAATACTAGCCAGTGTCAAATTACTCACCAATTATATTATCAGCACTTCAAAGAATTTTCTCTTCATCTACTCAGTAAGTAAATCTATCTCTCTTCATCTACTTTTGAATGTATGCAAACCCTATATCCTTTTGGTGTGCAATAAACCTTACCTTTGTCTTAAAAGATTTTTTAATATTATTTTATGTCAGATCATTTAATCTGTTGTATGAACATTTCCTTTTTATGACAATACATTAAAACTTCAAGAATCCTGATTTATTTTCCTGAAACAAGGTACTGACATCATTTCAAGTGTGTAAATTCCTGAATTCCATATTTTTTTTTGTTAAAATTTCTTTTGTGTTTCCTAATCATTATTATCCTTCCTTAATCTTCTTGGAGTGGGTAAATCAAGTGTTCATTTTAACCCCTAAGCCTCATGCCACTATAAACCAACAGCTCGGTCTGCTGCTAAGAATGTTGGTTCACTGTGTCATACCAGACAACTATTCTCAGCAGAATCTATCTAATACATTTTTAAATCTACGATTTGTCCCATGCATCAAATATTGTTGCCATAACTGGTCTGATGCTGCTGCAGATTCTCAACTAAATCCAAAGAATGATCTGTAAAATTAGCAATTCTGACCTGGCATCTCGAATCCAGTCACTTGCTAGAATGGGAACAAGGTCTCCAGGTTTTACTGTTGAACTAGCTAGATTCAACTATATGTTTTATTCAAAGAGTTTTTCTCAAATTTTTCACCTGTGGAACTCTCATCCAGTTATTTATTTCCTTGTCACCTGCAATCCTCAAAAATTTAAATCACCATCATATCTTCTTGAACTATGTTCATTTGTTGTCCTTTCTCCTCATTAAAGTCTTCACATTTCCTTTCAAATCAAGTAACCACTTGTGTCTTAGTGGCATCATCATCTTACTTGGGATGAAATGAGTTTCTAAAAACATTTAACTAACAGAGAAAAGCAGTTTTATACAGAAGACTAAGATTATTATCCCAATCAGTATCTTTTTTTATTTAAAGACTTGGAATAGTTCCCTATTACATACTATTCATCATGAATTTGATAACACAGTAATTGAGAGTTCAATCTCTGGGTCGGGTAGTTGGTATTTGAACTTAGTGAAAACAGAACTAGCAATAACTGAGCAGTACTAAAAATAAGAACTAGATGAGATATCCATAGACATGGGCAGTGGAACAACAGTCTATTCCTGTAGATTTAATAAAGTGTTAAGTTCAGAATTCCCTGTAGGTTACCCAGATTGACATACACCTGATGAAGACCAGAGAGTACAACAGCCGAAACACTGTGATAACAACAACAAATATGAGGACAATAGTCCACATGTAAATAGTGTAAATATTCATTTCAGGTATTTAATGTTTACCAGTATGTACCTCAATCATGTTGGCATCTATCTAGTATGTAGCCCAAGTGGGATGATTTCTACCTATATGCACCCCGAAGGAGACCAATATCCACCCACATAGACCAATGTCTACCCTCATACAACTCTAAACTGTACCTCACATGGAGCAACATCTGCCAACATGTACCCCACATGGACAGACATGGAGTGTATGCAGGTAGATGTCTAGTGAATTGATATCTACTCACATGTTCCCTAAGCAAACCAGTATCTACATCCATGTACCACAGACAGATCACCATTTACCCATATGTACCATGAACTGATCTATGCTTACCTGTATGTACCCCAAGTGGATCAAAATTCTCCATGTTGCATACTGTCACACAGTTGTCTCTTGCATCACGAACAACTTCATATTCAACTTCTTTCCATCCAAGCAGTGATTTTTCAATAAGGACTTGGGATGTCACAGCCAAGGCCTGAAAAATATAGAAAAGAATTAAGAAAGAATGAACGAGTCTAAATTAGCAGAGAATAAAATTACGGGTTCATAAAATAAAAACCAACATTTGGTAAGATACTTTGGCATCATGTTCTTTAGTTTTATTTTGCATTCAGAGCTTTTGTTTTCATAGTGAACCATAAACCAAATTTAAAAATAACAAATCCCTTCAAGTTTTCTGTAACACTTTCACTCTCATCCTCCAATGAAAGTTGCCCACTTGGTGGAGCCACTTGTTTAACCACAAGGGCAAATGTCATTCTGGAAATTTTCCCCAAAATGAGATTACAGCAGATGGCTGTGAACACGTATCAGGTTATTTCAGTCAGTTGTGTGCAAAAACTAGTACATCTTGCTCTTGTATGTGTGCATGTGTGTTAGTACTGCATGTGCAGGTGGTGCAATGGTTAGCAGTTCAGAATTAAAAATTGGTGAACCAAGTTCAAATTCCAGTTAGTGTTTGTTACATTCAATTTCACACAAATACTTTCTTCACCCATTAGCTGTGGATTAAATTGGACAAATTTACTCTTCAGCCTTGGGTGCTGACCAGTCTAAGAGAAGAGCAGGCAATCATGAATTAAAACTTAATACTAAAGTTATCACCAAATACCTTGAGCATTATTATCACTGGATTATGGCAGTTGATGTTCAAAGAGTGGTGTTCATGTTGTACAAAATGTCTATTACTATAATCTTGTTGAGTTACATGTATTTTCTCACATGGAAGAAAGTGGTCATGCTTGAAGTAGACAGTCCTATATATTATATAGTCCAATTTGTTAAAAACTTAGTTATACATCATCTATCCATTCACCATCCAAGAGACTCTTGTTTAATTTTCTTGCAAGTGGCCCAGGTTTGTGATACAAACAAAAAGAGACTTTAAAAAGAGCTCACTACAGAAAAAAGAAATGGGACTAAAACACTATAAATTGTCAAATGTATGGTCCACTATAGATCACAGCCATTGTCAAATGTAATCACAATCTTTCCCTAACAACTGCATACCACTTCAAGTGAATCCTTAAATACATGATGAGTTCATGAATATTCATCAAGTAATTGTATTATAAGGATTCCACTTGCGCATTTCACATTGCAAATGGCCACCAGCATGTGAAGCATGCAAATCATCACGTTCATTTTACTTCAGGTAATTCATCACATTTAACAATGACAAATAGCAAAAAAGAGGAGATACACCTGTTCAAGCAGATTAAGTTGATATGGGACCAATGAAGAAAAAGGATACAGAAACCAGTTCAAAGACTAGCTAAACTTTCTTTGGAAGCAAAATTGAGAAATGGATAGAGAGTGAAATATCAGCATCACCAAGAATTGCTGCCAAAAAACAAATTTTGTTTTGTTGTCTGAAGAGGAATGATCAGAACCTTTTTTTTTTTTTTTTTTTAACTACACAATGTCAAATCCTCACTTCAAACACCACCAAAAAGTGGCTTGAGAACAAATCCAGTCAGCTCGTGTTTTGAGTCTGATCAAATGCCCAATTTGAATCATACAAAAATATTTTCAACTATTCAACTGTTTGAAACTATATATATATATATATATATATATATATATATATATATAAAACAGAGGATGTCTGTGTGATAACTTTTCACTAGAATCCATCCAACTGATTTTGATCTAATTTGGCACATACATTGTACAATGTAAGAGAGAGGTTCTTAGCATAAAAAAAAACAATTTTTAAAAAATCAATAATTGGTAGTGCCAATTAAAAATCAATAAATTCAATTTTTTCCCTCTAATTTCACTCAAACTCAGTATGTACGTTATTTAAATTGTGAAAAGCTAAGTGATACCTCATTTTTATTTCTATGCCATTGCGTTTAGCAAAAGAACATGAAAAAAAACGAAAAAAAATCGATTTCAACACAAATTTTGAACTAAAAACTTCCTCAATTTTCAAGCAATCTTATACAAACTTCACTCAATTGTAGCCAACAATAAGTTGATTCTTTAACAGTCATTTAACTTGATAATGGAGTCCACCCATATAGTGAAAACCCTCGTAAATAGTGAAAAATGGCAATTTTTACTGATTTCTTTCTTATTTTTTTGTTGATATTTGAACCAATTTTCATCAAACTTAACGACTGCTTTATAAATGTATCCTCTTTTACATCCCTAGTAGCACACTGACAAATTGAATTTCAAAACTCCAAAATAATCATGGTCTGAAGTGGGTCTCCATGTTGCTTATTTTACCCATTTGGTTAAATTCGATTGAATAAATACAGACTACTTCTTTTATATCAGTAACTGCATTAATTCAAAATGTTTTTTTAATGAAAGTACTTTAAAGTAATTGAAGACAATAGACTGTTACATCTAAACATGATGCACGGTTTTTGCTCCATTCTAATTGAACGCTTTTTCTGATTGACTGGGTATGGCTGCTAGTATTCAATAAATGGAACATCATTGACTCTTCTTTCTGTCAAAAAGCTATTCACAAATTCACACACAAAGCTTAAACATTTCAATGCTTAAGTCTTGTAATGTATGTATATCTGTGAGTAACTTTTTACAGTTAAAAAAATATATCAAATCAAATCTGAAATCAAAATAAAAGCTTTCATAGACAAAGTTATTTGGTTTAATTCTTGCTTATTTTCTGACCAATGATTTGTTGATAAAAATATTTCTTCTATGTGCTGTGTCCCATCAGGACGTTTATGGGCATGGCTTTTCACAATTTCCTGTTTTTTTCTAACTCTTAATAAATATTGTTATTTTGCTATCTCTCCTAAACCTTTACCCAAGCTCTCCAGGTACGTTATGCATTATTTTCCTCTGTCCCTCTTACCTGCAATCTGTCCTGTGAGTGTCAAATTTTCCAAGCCCTAATTCCTCAGTAACTGCCTTAGAAATTTTAACTCTCTTTCTGAAGTTACATATAAGTGTCTTTTTTGTTTCCATTTTCTCTAAAACTTTATTGTTGCTAATACTGCTCATTCTATGGTATTCTCAGCATCCTTCTGTAGAACCATATTTCTTCTGCTTTGCCTCTTATTCATCTATGAAGTGATTGTCTAATATTCACTGTCATATAGGAGGACTAATATTACATAATAATTCAGTACCCTTTTCTTTGTTTCTAATGAAATTTTCTTGTTTCTTAATATTTTACTTAGCTTTTAGAAGGCACATTTTGCTCTCCCAATGTACATTTGGATTTCAGTGTCGCACTTTTTGTCCACTGTTAAAACACTTCCCAGATATTTAAATTGATATACTAGTTTGGTATCTCCAATTTGTAATTTGCATGTTGGAGTGTTCCTTTTGCTGATAACCATACATTCTATATTCTTGCAATTAATGCTTAGTCCTTTCTTCTTGCTTTCCATAAAAAAAGATTAACATCCTGAAGGGATACGGCACATAAAAGAAAAGAATACTTTATAAAATACATGTCTCAAAAAAGAAGAGAAAAATAATTTGTGTACTTAGGACCCATAATAAAGAAAATCATTCATGAGTTTAATCGTATCCTGTATCAGATTATGCTTGTGTGCGTCACATGGTTTGGGGAACTCAAGTATTCGACTTATGTGAAGAATGAAATATTCCCCACACCAGTGTACTACCATATACGAGAAAAAAGAGAAAGAGAGAGATAGTATTAATTTCCTTTTATCACTGATAATCACACAATCTAATGGATGTTAATTGAAGATTATTGGTAGAATGTTTTGGGTAATCCCGTCACTATCTTTCGTGCAGTGAAGTATGAATCAGACTTCAGGTAAAGAAACCACTTTTCCAATATTGTATATTTTCCAGTAAAAGATAAAAATATTTTTCTGCCTGTTGAAATTGTGGCGTACTTCAAGAACATAAATAAGATTTACAGATTTATTAATCAAATATTAATCTCACACTCTCTTGAAAGAAATATCTTTCCTTACAATAAAAGTTATACAGATTATTATATATATATATATATATATATATATATATGTATAAAATACTAACAATCTGATTTTTCTTTATCTCTATAACATATAAGTAAGCAGAATGGTACATTTCTGGAAAAATGAAATAAAATAAATAAAATAAAGAATTTAATTTTCCCATAATGCAAAATGAAACCAAAAAGTGTTTCAGGTCACTTGTAAATTTTATGACCCTACTTCAAGAAATAATATTTTGGATAATTATACAAAGGACCAGTTCAAAATATGATACAATATAGACTCTTTTCTGGGCCCTTATAAAATGTTTAAAAATATATATCAAGTAAAGATATTTTCATTCACTTAAAATTTTTTAATTTTGTAGATAGAAATGATTTATATACCCATCTGTAAGAACCTTTAATGACTCACCTTTATTTGCAAAACTGCATAGATGAAAAAAAACAAAATAAAAACCGTTTTTGACTTACATGATTGACGACTTTCTTCAGAGATTCAGGATCATAGCAAACCCCAGAACCAAGACCTCCAAGGGCATAAGCTGCTCGTACCATCACAGGGTAGCCAATAGTTTCAGCAGCTTTCAAGGCATCTTTCAGCTAAAAATAGAAAAAAAGGTAAAGAACTCCATATATATATAAGAAAAACCGTTGGTAGAAGCAACGGACAAGCTTGCCTGCAAAGAGGGTAACTGTCAAAGAGACAGTTACCTTCTTCGCAACACTTTGGAAGGGAGGTAACTAAGAAAAAGTGTAAGGGAAATAACTAATACAGCACAAACGTTACATTGTAGACAGAATAAAATATTCGTACAAAAAATATTCGAGTAAGTGCTGAAATATTTTTTCCCCAATAAATGTTATATATATTTTAAAATGGAGAACTGTTCCGAGATGTTTACTAATTTGGGAGGGGGAAAGACCGATTCCGTGAAAAGGACAAAAATAAACATTTGAAAAATATAATTCACATTTACCTAATAAGAATTTAACAATATGCCATTATTTTTCATGGTATGGATAAGTTATACAAGATTCTAATGGACATAAAGTAGTGGACTGGTTTTTTATTATTATTAAGTAATAAACTGATCCCCCTGAAAATTCCAATATACTATAATTGTAAAAAATATATTTATTGACTCAAATGTAAAAATCTGGAGATGGAATTGAAGTAGCACAATTGGTACAAAATTTTCTTGGGTATCATGGAGTTAAAAACTATACAGATTTAAAAAAAAAAAAAAAAACAACTGTGTTAACATTTTATCAAAAGGACAAAATGTCAGATGTCTTTAAAAAACACATCTTGCACTCTCATCTCACTTTCTTTCTTTTTTTCTAACAGATCTGGATGCCTTAATTGCGGATATGTTCCACCAGGACACATCTAACATGAAGTTGAAGTGACAAGGCCATTAAACAATCCAAACTGCTGCCCGACAATTACTGGCTTCTGAGAATAAGAGACCAACTCAAGTCACAAATACAAAAGAATACTATTCAAATATTACTGAACACATCAGAAGTATTTTTTTTATATATATATTATATATATATATATATATATATATATATATATATATATATATTTCTATACATATTTCCCCATTGTCATTAAAATTTTTATTCAAATACAATTTTATTCACAATTACTTTCTCATTAGATTTTCATTCACTCAGATTTGAATTATACATTAAAAAGCACTAATATATAATTTCTTTTAGGATCTTCTTAATGGGTATTCAAATAACACCCAGGGAGCCCAAACTGTGATTAGGAGGGGAGGATAAGAATATTAAAAATATAAGAATGTAAAAAAAAAAAAAAAGAATAAGTGTGTGAAAAACTAAAAAAAAAAACAGTTAAATGAGAATTTTCTTACATTTTCCACAGCAAAACTAGGAGCCAGTTTCTCATTGATTTCTTTCAGCTTGTCAGCAAAGATTTGACGATCTTCAGTGGCCTCAATTGTCTCAACAGGAGTACCTAATACTTTGACACCATATTCTTTCAAGGTCCCATTTCGGTACAGCTCCACACCTTTCAAAAAGAAAGCAGCAGATTGGACAAATATATCTTACTTATTATAAAACGCAGATTGTGTGTGTGTGTGTGTGTGTACGTTTATATATTGGATCGGATTTCCTACATTTTTCAACTGATTTCAACAAAACTTCACAGGACTACGTAAAATTACCTTGCAGTGGTTCTTACAGTGCCAAAAATTGGAAAACAATTGTTTTTGCACAAAATCAATTTGAAAACACAATTAAGAGGCATTAATGAAAGGGGGACAACTCATATCGAGTTATACTTATTATAAAACCCAGGTTGTTTGTGTGTGTGTGCTCATTTATAGATGGGATCGGATTTCCTACATTTTTCAACCGATTTCAATAAAACTTCACTTTTTTTTGGCAGGTAGTGTTTCTTATTGTCTTGCACACTTTTTTCTTTATTTTTACATTCAGAATTCTTTAAAAATTCCATTTACAAGACAATTGTTTATAATAAAATTCTATTCAATCAGTAAACTCATAAACAATGTTTTTGTTTGAGTTTGGATTTGACCAATTCGTAAAAAAAAAAAAAAAAAAAAACTAATTAAGGTATGCGTGTCCATCAACCTTAAACAATAATCTTTGTCAATTTTATTTTTCAGTCTTTATGAGGGTTGATACTTGATCTATCTCTTACTGTTACATCCCCGGGCAACACCGGGCTCTACTGCTAGTAACTTTATATATCAGGCGAATGGTGGATAATTAAATGACAAAATGGAAAAGATCCTATGTGACATATTTCAAACTTTGAAAGGACTTCTTCAGACGAGATACATTTCTCTTGATGTCTAACTATAACCAACATTTGCCAAAATTTGTACCCTCTACCAGTAAAACATTATTTAATCTGAAGTCCTTCCAAAGACAAAAATGCATCATGTAGAATTTTTTCCATTCTGTCAATTACGCACCATATATGAATAGAAGATCAAATATAGATAAAATATGTATAGGAATCTGACAAAATGATAGGATAAAGTAAATAACAAGTAGGAAACAGATCTTAATCTATTGGGTTGGTGCAAAAATAATGTCGTTTTGTGACGTTAAGTTGAACGTCAAAAACGACATTATTTTTGCACCAACCTAATAACATGTTCCACTTTATTAAATCTTTGTCAGAAATCAAGATAAGAAATGATAAAAAGCAAAAAGATGAAGTGTTTGGTTAATTCTTATTAGTTAGATGTGTGTCATATGTTATGAAGTAACAGATAATACAGTGTGACCCGGATATAAGAGAGATTTTCTCTGGTCCCAAATTAGAGCCTGTGTTAATGTAAACAAAATAGACCAAACCCGGATATAAGAGAAACCCGGATATAAGATACTTCTTCTCCGGTCCTGACAACTCTTATATCCAGGTTACACTGTACTTAAATATGTGTATGAAACATTATGGACACTAAAGCGTGTAAAAGTTAATGAGACACACCAGGATGCCATGAAAAATTTTGTTTGGGCTTTTCATTAAAGCATATCTTGTGTGTATTTTTGTATATATATCTTCATTGATTTTTATTTATTGGATATAAATTAGATTCATGAATAATGGTTTTGTAGAAAAATGGTGAAGTAATGTAGTTTTTTTTTTAAACGCGTGTTAATAGTTGGTAGTATTGCTATAAATATGTTGTCATAACATTTTCTCTTTAAAGGATTATCTTTTTTTTAATAAGGCTGGCATTGGTTAAATTAAAGTTATGCCCCATGTTGTTGTGGTGTAAGACAAGAGAGTTTGAATATCTATCTAATTGCAAATCTCTTTTGTGTTCCTGGATGCAGGTTTTTAGATCATGTGATGTCTCACCGATGTACATGTTATTGCACTGTAGACATTTGATTTGATAAACTCCTGTATTTGAATTGGTGTTTATTTTATTTTTCATCCAATAGTCTTTGACGTGGTTGTAAGAATCCTCATGTCAGGGATGACGAATTCATTTGCAAGTTTAGTTGAAGTGTTGGAGAGTAGGAATGTGAATTTTGTATAATTTTTGTTGGAGGTATTTATTTCTTTTGGTTTTATGGATTTTTTGAGCTTGTTTTTTTTTACCCTTAAAATGAAATGGCATGTGTAGTGTAGAAGTTTGAATGTGTTCAATATAATCCTCTTCTTCATTAATGTATTCAGGCTTACATATCCTAAGGTCTCTAAGTTAAAATCCTATAATTATTCCAGATTTTATTCTCCAGTTGTGGAGGGAATAGTAATTGATAAGGTCATTTATGTTAGTGAGTTTTCGGTAAAATTTAAATTCTAATTTATTATAGTTACATATTAATAGGATATCAAAGAAAGGTAGATTTATTTGTTTCAAATTCGTAAGTGAATTTGATGTTTGGATCAACCTTATTGAATTTAGCTATTATGTTTAAAAGGTTTGTATCTTGAGAATAAAATAAGAGGATGTCATCAATGTACCTTAGGTAAGTTGTTAGGTATGATATGTTTAAATATGGTGGATTTTAGAAAGAGGCAGACAAAAGCACCACTGATAGGTGCCAAATTTTTGTTTGTAGAATATGTTATTGAAAGAAAAGAAAAGAAACAGTGGTTAGTGATTAATTTTCATATCTTTATGATATTGTGGGCAGGTAGAGGAACCTTATTTATTGAGTAGATTTCTTAGTATATTAAAGCATTTCATGATAGGTATATTGGTGTATAGTGATTTGATATCTAAACTAGCCATATACATGTTAGTCATATTTATGTGTTGTATTCTATGGAGAAAGTCACCTGAATGTTTGATGCATGTTGTACTGATGGTACCTAGGAATGGAGTTAGGATTTTAGTGATAGCTCTAGCTAAATTGTTGGGTATACTGTTAATTCTGGACACAATGGGTAAATCAGGTTTATGTGTCTTGGGTAAGCCATATAGAATGGGTAAAGTCGAGTGGGAACCTATTAATCTAGACCAAGATTCGTTTTCATTTTTTAATAGTTTCTTGATAGTTTTGTTGAACCTATATGTTTCAGTGTTTTTATATAGATATAATTACCTTCTAAGTATCCGATGAAGGGGTGTCCACTGAAAAAAATGAAAAAAGAAAAAAAATCACCTGTAAACGGCTTAAATAGATTTTGCACCGTTGCGATTGGCTGTTGGTCAATCTCCAATCAAATGTGTGATAACGGGGCATATTTATAGAAGTCAGTGTCTACAAGCATTTTTTAGAGGGCATTTCAGAGTCTGATCAGCTCTGAGGGGGTCGATTTGGTTAGGTCAGTATGATGTTTGAAAGACCCGAAACTGCCCGATGATCCATCTCAAGAACATCACTGACGACGCCCTCTAGTGCTAAAAGAGCGTATATTCATAGTATGTATATATATATATATATATATATATATATATACACACACACAAAGAAACAATTGATTTTTTTTTATTTATTAACCTGACAGATTTTTATTACTTAAACAATATTTTTAGCAGATACTCATATTTGAGTAGATGCTCCATTTATTTATTCAACAGTATATTTATTTTCATCTACCAGTCTGAATATTCAAGAAATCTTTTTAAAGAAAAATATTGATGCACTCTGTAGCTGAGAGGTCAAAGCATATCAGATCTAATGACGCTTTCCTCTAAGGGAACACAGGTTTGAATCCCACTGGAGGGTGTATATTTTTCTCTTCTTTAATTTTTCCAAATTAAAATTTTTTTTTTCTGGAAATACTATTAACGAATTAGATGGAGTCTCTAACCACTTCATGTGGAGTAAAATGGTTAGCAATCTTTTCTAATCAACAAATAAAAAATTAAATATCTGATTACACCTGAAGTTTGTTTTTAATTATACAATTAAGCCTTAAAACAAATCAGCTCCGAGTCATCAAATGCTTTTTGCTCTTCTCAGGGAAATTCCAAATTGCTCATTCACAACACAATGCACTTATTTGAACTTCCCACCCACCACCAGTGACAACTAGCTTACCAAGGACAGTTTAAGTATTTACCCATTATTTAAACATAAATTGAAATATAAAAATAGTTTTAAATTTCAAATAAAGGCTTCTTAACATTTTTTTATTTTATTGTTTAATTAAATATGGTGGACAAAAGAAAATGTGATCAAATTGTCACATTGAAAATGACTAATATGAAGAATTGTGAGGTGATAAAACAGTTGAATATTTGCTGAAAAACCAACTTTTAATGTGTGGAAAACGTTTCAAGAGGAGCAAACAACTATTCAGTTCAGCAGAGTTATTCAAGTCGTCAAGAAGGTGAAGAGAAATCCACAAAGAAGTATCAGGAAAATGGCGGAAAATCACTAGATATTACACAGAGTGCTTTAGGGCTAAAAACAATACAGAATTCAACAAGGACAACTGATCTCAAGGGCCTCCAAGCAAAAAAGGCCAGGCAGAGAGAAGAAAATGTTGAAGATGCAGCATGCCATAAAGTTTTTGGTCAGACAAATTTTTCACTGTAGAGGTTGTGGCCAACTACCAAAATGATGGGGTTTACACTTGCTGCACCTGTTTATATCTACGTCAAGAAGTCAGAGATTGGTTGAGATGTAACCAAAAATTTGCATGACATTCTCATATATAAACAAAGAGGTCATGTGTGTGCTCTTTCTTTTTTTTTCAATGTGGGATACATGTGACACACTGTCGCTTGGTTTGACAAAGTAAGTTACCATTTTCTTTGCTACAGTCCCTTCACAAGAAAACATTCCTGAAGGTGTTAGAACACATTTCAAAAAACAACTGGTGTCATTATATAGGCTGCTGTTGCTTCTTTTGGCTCAAAATCACCCCTTGTGTTTATTGAAGGTGTAAAAGTGAATGCAGAGTTTACTAGAAAATATTCAAGAGAGATGTGTTGCCCTGGTTACCCAGCCACATTTGGAAGTCACTATGTCCTCACTCAAGATGAAGCTCCTGCACACATGGCCAATTTAATTCAGAACTGGTGCAAGAGACATTCCCATGGATTTTTTGACAAATCAATTTGGGCTTCATCAAGCCTCTACATTAAGCCCATAGGCTTTACAATATGGCTCATACTGGAGAACAATATTTCATAGATCTCCTACTCAAGTGTGTCAGACCTGAAAGAAGTTTATGATGTCATCCTACAATTTAAGCAAAGGGGTGATGAACAAGTCAGATTAATGGTTATGGGGAAAAGAAAAGGCCGCCATTTTGAATTGTAAAAATATGCAAAATATTGTCAATAATTATCACAATCAACCTGTAAACTTTCATCAACCAAAACATGAAACTTTTTTTAATTTTATGATACAATGAATATTGGGTAAATGTATAAGGAAAAACAATATATATTGTTTTATATATCAGAAAAACATTTAGGAAAATGCTTTGACAAAGAGGAAAAATTTTTTCAGGCAACATGTTTCATGTTTCATCCTTTAGGACATCAAACTAAATTTATGTTTATGCTGATGTGATTACACATGTGCATGAAGGAGAGGAGTTGCTGAAATTTTTAAGTTGTTTTATTTATTTTCCTATCGTCAAATGAAGGTTATACTGAATGGCTACTCATCTAGATACTTTCATACAAATGTGCTTGTCCCTCAGGGCACCATCCTTGGTCCTACTGTTTTTAATTTTCATTAATGACTCTTCTGACTCCATACTTTCCAACCAACTTTAATCCACAAAAGTTTAAATACAATGTCAGTCGCTATGTACTGTCCTCCTGATTACTCTTTTCTCTTCCCACTTATCATTAATGTTTCTGTTTCTTATTCTTCCACCCTATGTAATCCCTTGTGTCTTAGAAGCTTTACTGCCTTGCATGTGGTGATACCGATTAAAAAAAAAAAAAAAAAAAAAAAAAAATTTTTTTTTTTTTTTTAAATATGTACTTGGCTATGTAGTATAACTGATTTCATTTAGTTTCATTTTCTTTGTTTTTATTACTTTTATTATTAATATTATTTCTATTGTGATTATAGATCTACCAAGAAAGGTGAAATATTGTAAGACCCTTTTCTCCATTTGTTATATTGAATGTATCCAGTATGAATAAGCGAGATACACTTTGGTTATTTACACACATTGTGGTTTCACAATTCATATCAGCTAATACTTAATGAGTATTATTTCTGATTTTGAATTTATTTTTGGTTTATTGAGGTGTCATATGCTACGTACCACAATTGAGTGCAGTTTGTCCACCCATAGAGAGGAGCAATCCATCAGGCTGTTCTCTCTTGATGATTTCTGTCACAAATTCTGTAGTGATTGGCAAAAAGTATACAATATCTGCTTGTTTCTCGCCCTCAGCATTCGTCTGCACAGATGCAATGTTGGGGTTCATCAGAACAGTTTGGATTCCTTCCTCCTAATTTTAGACAAAAAAATAAAAATAAAAATAAAAATGAAAGGCACTAGATTTACACTGGGACACTTTAAAAGTTTCAGAAAGATTGAAACATTGTTTATTAGAATGATTGGAAAAATATCGGCTAATTGCCAATTGATTCAAACTTTAAAAAATGGTAAGTAATAAGGATTTCCTCATAGTTGGTACACATATTTGATATATGTTTATAAATTTACGAATAAAAAAGAATTTGCATATTTATTTCTTCATAAATTTGGAAATAATAAATATTGCATTAGTTTTAATTGTATTAGTTAGTTTTTAGAATGTTGTCAATATAAAAGTATTCTTGAAAACAATTTAATAAATAGTGTTTAATATTTTTGTTGTAAATCCTCAAGAACAAAAAAATATGCTTAAATTCACTGTCATATGTTTATGTTTTATTACAATTCTAATCATTGCTTTTTAAAACAAGAAACATTGACAAGGAGTGAAGGTAAATAAAATAACAGTGATGGCAATGGAAAATCCCCACTTTTGACATTCCCTTATTTTGCAGGCATGTAAATCCAAGTTTGCTGAAAAAACATTGCTAAGAGCTTCAAAGAATAAGAAGTTGTGAAAAGACATGATCACCTACATCCTGAAGGGATACATTAAATAAAAGAAAAACATAAAAAAAAACCCTCAAAAGTTGTCTGCACATTTTCACTACAAAATCAAGAAGAGGACAGTAAGTATCTGTCTATATTTATGAGATGAGGTATTATGTACACTATTTACATTATTCACACTATTGTCCTCATCTTTGTCGCCATTTTATCACAATGTTTCAGCCATTGTACACTCCGGCCTTCTTCAGGTGGTTGGAATGTTAAGGCAGTAGAGAACTTGGAGAGGGGAATTAACAGGAGATAACTGATAACTGACATCCATTAGACATGGCACATGGAACTAGAACAGTCTACCCCAGTGAGCGAAATAAAGTGTTCAGTTCTACATTACAACCACCTGAAGAAGGCCGGAGCAAACAATGGCCAAAACGTAATAAATATGGTGACAAAGATGAGAACAATAGTCCAAATAATGTAAATAGAGGATGGTAAGTTAATAAAACTTTAAAATTATCTTTTCACCTGATCAATATAAACAGCATTCTTGTTTAGAACAAATAAAAAATCCAAAAAATCTTTTATATGCTGTAATTTGGGGGGATATAGGAGACACCCTAGTTACAAATTTACATTTGTCAACATCAGTTGAAGATATACAGATAACACAGGGTTGAAAGAAGACAGATAAAGGAAAAAAAAGAAGAAAAGAAAGGATTGAAATCAACTGCAAGACAGAATGTGTGGTCATTAACAAAAATTGCCCCAAAATATGAATTACAAATTGTTGGGGCTACCCACCTTCTCATCAGAATGGACTGATCTCTACTACTAATAGGACAGTTCTATAGAGTTCTGAGAGATCAGGTGACCATCACACTTTCGTCTCTCTACCGGAAGATACAGTTGGACTTTATATCCTTCTGATTGTTACTGACTAACCTGCATTCGTTTGACTACTAATCTCTCTGTTGTAAATACCTCTTCAGATATACCAGTATTTTTCCCCTACGTATGTTTTTGTCCTTATTTCAATACATGCACGCAGAAACACTCAACATCTCAACACAAATTTAAGATACCAAAATCAAACAAGAACAAACATTTAAATATCTACAGCAAGGTGACACCTTAAGGGTTGAAAGGATAGCTTGGTGACTATACCGAGAGAGATGTGACACCTTAACGGTTGAAAGGATAGCTTGATGACTATACCGAGAGAGATGTGACACCTTAACGGTTGAAAGGATAGATCAAAAAACATATCGAGGGTCAAGACCAGATTTTGGTAAATTCAGAGGGTTTGTATTTTAGCCAAAGTTGACAACCAACTATGAAATGTATACACTATTTTTAAAATCCAGGTTAAGTAAAAAAAAGTCGATTGAGATAAAAATTAAGTTGTTCTAGAAACAAAGGCACAGTTAAAGAATTGTTTTTCTTTCCTCATCACTTGTCAAAAGAAGAGGCAAGAGACTATGTGAACACCATAATGGAGACACTATTGTTTTAAAAACCCAAGTTATGGCATTATCTGCTGGACATAACCTGGTAAGGAAAGTCAGTTGAGAGGTGATATTTAAGGATTTTTTGCAAAGTTGAAGAATTGTTTATTTTTTATCACTTGTCAGAAAAAGGGAAGGGAAGGTGTGAATTACAGAAGTGGTGAAATTTCTTTAGATAAGGGCCAAGGTGCCACAAGAAGATGCTGTCAGAGGAACAGGTGGTATACAATTGGAAAGGTGGAAGGGGTTAAGGAATTCTGTTGATGAAAATTTTTTGGACGTTAATTAAAATTAATAATTGGAGCTAAGCCATGCCTGCTTGCCTAGAAATTGGATTGGTCAGATGGCCATAAAAGTGAAAAGCCTAGGCAAAAAACCAAGAGAGGCAGAGGAATTGCCTATACTCTTTGAGCAGTATTGGTATGAGGCACCAATATAAGGAAGTAAGGAGTTAGGGTGGATTGATATTCTGCTACCACTACTCCTCAGAGGGTTCTCTCCAAAATTGGGCATGCGATTAATTTCACCAGAGTCAAACAAACAAAGAACTCTGTGGTGATTTAAGGAATGGCCAAAATCGCAACCCACATGAGACCCTCATGCCAGTCTTGGACAGAGGTCCATATGAACAGAAGATCAAAGTGACAAGCAGAGAGAGAAGCTGCCAAACACCAGGCAAGAGATGACCACTTCAAATTCACATGACTTCCTGCCACTGAAGAAGACCTCTGACTAAACACTGTGTTCCAGAAGCCTTGTCTAGGCTTCATCACAATGAACAAAGTGTCACAAAATATTCAAAGTGGATGGGGGTGAATAACTTTGCATGACAAATATATGAAGAATATATTTCTACCTCAAGAACTAATATTGTACCACTGGCTCTGTACAAGAAATGGTATATAAAACATTTTCTTTATTACAATTTATCCTCTATCTTGTGCCTTCACTTTGTTCGGACCAAACCAATTCAGCAATTCCTGCCAACAATTTGATCCTCACAGGCCTAGTGATCTAAATCAAACACAACATGGGAAAAGGCAGTGCTTGGATTGAAGTGATCTATTCAACGGTCAACCACAGGGATTGTATATCGATGGGATTAGCTGAGCGAACATCTCAACATCATAGTGCAAGTTACCTTCCAAAAGCTAAGCAAAGTATTAAAAACAGGAAAATCTCAAAGCAAAGATTACTTAAATGTTACATAATATCTGTTCTCCTATATTTCAATGAATGCTGGACAATCTCCTCACAGATGAAGAAGAGCCTTGAGGCAATAGAAATGCGCTTCTACAGAAGGATGCTGAGAATACCATGAACTGAACATGTCATCAACAACAAAGTTTTTTCAGAAAATGAAAACAAAAAGAAACTTATAATTAACATTGGAATGAGAGATTTTAAATTTATAGTAGAATGCTACAGGGCATTCTGGTCCCTGCGCTACATGACAATGTTGTTCCAGCCTCAGTCACCAGTGTGTCCGCAATTGACTCCTGCAGCTAACTATGAAGTTTATCACTTCAATCGAAGCCCCTTTCCCTGCCCCATATTGTTTTGATCACAAGGCAGGCAAGGATTGAATCATTACCAGATATCACTAGATTGGGTGTCATCCAGGCAGGACAATGTTACAAGACATTCAACATGTAAATCAACAAGGTTTATATAACTGAAGTTTATACAGGAACACTTTTTTTGTATAAGAATCTACAAGCATACAGGCTAACAACCATTCCCTCATCATCTAATTTTGTAATACTTTATTCTTCATTTCTAAGTTGGAGTTGAGGTTTCAAACTTTAAGTCAAAGGCTTCTGCAGGCCGCAAATTACAGAATAGTGATGATGCAGTCAACTCTCTCTATCTCTCTCTAGATCTATCTATCTAGATCTATCTATCTAGATCTATCTATCTAGATTTCTCTATCTCTCTCTCTATCTATCTCTCTAGATTTCTCTATCTATCTAGATCTCTCTATCTCTCTATCTATCTAGATCTCTCTATCTCTCTATTTATCTAGATCTCTCTATCTCTCTATCTATCTAGATCTCTCTATCTATCTAGATCTCTCTATCTCTCTATCTATCTAGATCTCTCTATCTCTCTATTTATCTAGATCTCTCTATATCTCTCTAGATCTCTCTCTATCTATCTAATTATGTAGAGGCTTTCAATTCTTTCACTTTGCAATTTCATCCGGGCACTCTGCTCAATTTATCTAATAGTCTGGCACAAGGCATGAGTCTGGAGTTCTTCATGGCAGCAAATCACATGCTGTAACTGAAGAGCGTCTACCTCAACTGCTGCTCTTTCTGTCTTCGCTTCTCCAGATCTTTGCATGGCTATTTCTTGAGTCCAACCTCCAAAAACCGGTTTAGGGTTGGCTTGTTCTTTGAATCTCCTGTCACCCAATCAAATCTCTCCATGGGTGCTGCTGGGTGGCCCTTGTATATTCAAATATGGGGAGCTCCCCTTGCAAGCAGGGTGCCCATGTCAACACATCAATCTCCCATCTTGTTCTCCTCCCCATTCTCTTGCTCACACCTTGCACCAGTACCTTTCAGCGGGTATGACCATTTTCCTCCCACTTCCTCATATCAGCTCCTCATGCTACTGCTATCCAGGGAATAGGCATTTCCCCCAATACAAAACAGATATTATTTCTAATGTCACCATAAAATTATTATCTGCGCTCTGGAGTGGTCTCTTAGTCCTCGGCCAAATCCAGCACCATTCCCCACACACACCCTCCATTGGTACTAGCTAGTAAAACAGAATAAGGAGACATCCAATTAGTGCTGGATGAATCAACTTGGCCCAAATGGATTTCAGTGCTAACTTCTCGCAAAGTTCTTCATATACACATCCATATATTGTACACACACACACACAC